TTAAAAGTGAAATATTTTAATATGTATGTGCACTGTAATATTGTTCGTTATTCATCGGAGCAATTATTTATTTCTAAACTCAAATACTGACTGAATCAAATCGAAAAATAAAGCGAAAAACTGACTCAGTTCATTTGTCAGATAAATTCTTATGAAAATTTGCCAGTGGAATTCGGCAAATATATTTTTGGCTTTGAGTTTTTTTTTGTAATGTCAAAACAAAAAAATATGAAACACTCATGCGAGGTCTCATTATATCTCGACCTTGAAACGCAGGGCCATGAAATTGAAGAATGTAAATCAAACCTGATTTCATGAACCAATATTGGTATTTTGGTACAAATTCCATTGTCTTTACAATCTTGTACCAATGACACATTCATTCTAAGCGAACAAGATAAAAAAAAGATGTGAAAATATAAGATACCAGCATCCTGTTAATGAAACTGAACCACAGATTAAAAATTATTGACTATAAATTTAAGGAAGCGAGTATTTACTGTAGAACTTTGCTTGACTATAACATCTGCGTTTCGTTAAATCTGTCATAGCACATTACAATTAACAAGATTGGTTTCTCCAGACTTCAATGAATATTAAACATTATAAAATTTCTAATTTGCCTTTATGCAAGTTTATTAAAATGTTATAGTAATTTAATTTTATGCAGAAGTCCTCTAAATAGAAAATTTACTTATGTGATAACAAATTAGTTAAATACACCATTTCTAAAATAAAGTCGTTTTAAAGTGAGAAACGCCTTTCATGACATTTGTTGAAATTTATTTTAATGCCTTTTTATAGGTAAAGAGATAAAAAAAAATCCTTCAACAAATAAAAAAAACATTGTTTTTAACTTTTTTCGCACAATCGTTGGCTTAATAATATACATTAAATGATCGTTGTATTATATCGTAAAAAGAGAAAATATTTCATTACATGGCAGATGTGAAAAATAATTATAGTATGACGATTACACGTGACAGCTGTCACATTTAAATTAAATAAAAGCCAGATTTAGCATGGATATAATGGAAAATGCTAGGTTTCTTTTGTAAATATAAATGATCAGAGATAAAGAAAATGTGTCAATCGGTTAACGTGAATTAAGCTTTGTATGTTCTCTTGGGAAAATGGCAATAGAAATTTCTCCATTGGTAACTGTTCAATTGGGAACGCATTTCCTTTTCGATTCGCAACGAAAGACAATTAATAACCACTCCAGTTTTATTCTTCCACGTTCGATACCGAAAAAGGAGTTCGACAATTTCGAACACCCTAGAAATCTAGAACAAAACGAAATCGACGACTTTTCGGCGTTGCTTAATAAAATTAAATCCATATCCTTTTCGTGATACGCAGGATTACGTAAGCTGCGCCGAGCCGTACAGACGGCGTCAGCGACTCCTCCGTCTGTCTCTATTTTCGCAGGCAAATATTTTGTTTTCACTTAACGGAAAAAATTTAATGGAATCACTAAACATGGTATTCAATATATGCGCCCCCTTCTCATCTTATTACGACGCCCGAACGCGCTTAACATTCACGAAGAGATCTAGAAACCGTCGGTCAATTTCTTCTTGTCCCAGTCGCATTCTTATTTTCGTTTTGCGAAATCAGTGAAATTTCCTTTACGTGCTACAAATAAAGCGCATTCGCAATCGAATGGCTGCAAATGCACTCTCTGTTTCACATCGGGTTTTCCAAGAAAATTTCAGAGCCACATAGATATACATCTTAATCTTGATTTCTCGAGAGATTTAAGTGCACACCTTGTTTAGAACCTTCTTTTTTTTTGTTTTGTTCAATACAATCATCGGCCGAGCGAAAGCAAAGGTCAGACGGTTAGCCAAAAAGCGTACGAGTGAAGGCAAGCAAATGAACATAAAAAATGTTCGGCGCAATCGCGCTGAAAAGAAGGTATAGTTTGCATTTGATCGGATGATAATAAATTGAGAATAATAAAAGTCATGTTAGCGCGAAGCTGCGCCGGTAAAAATATAAATAATTGCAGCGACTTCCTTATTGCGGTAATAAATTTGTTCGATTTAAAACAGACAACAATAAAAAAAAAACCTTCTTATTAAACAACTGACAAGCGATTGATAATGAATCAAAGCCTGCGTTCTCCGATATGCAAATACATCATATTCCAGTTTATTAGCACGACTTGATTAATCAAAATCATATGTTAAATATAATACGAGCAAAATAAATCAAATTTAAAGTCCAATGCATATAAACAAATTTATTACTTTTTTTATCATACTGTAATTCAGCAAAACCTCATTATAGCAGTTGCTTATACAATTTAAAACACGCACTTAAAAGAAAAGGATTTTTTAAAAACATTAATTTTATGGGTTTGAAAATTTCAAAACAAACTAAATTTTAATTGAACAAATTAAAAATAAATTCAAAAAAAATATAGTACACTAAATTATTTTTTACATAAATGATCGTTGTTAAAGTCTCTTTTAAGCAACTTATTTTTTATGCGGACCTAAATTAATCCGGCTTTAAACAGTAATAATGGTGGAACCGATTACCCGTACTATGCGTGCTATTGCAGTACTTATATTGAAGTTGAATAAGGCATTATTGACAAATTTTATTTAACAGCGATAGACCGATGATAAATTTTGTATTATTATATAACAAATAATCTTTAATTCAATTTTAATGTGCTATTTTGAATTCCGAAAGTTTTACATTTTAATGACTTGGGATTATAATTTATTAAAGTTTCATAACAGATTTTTATAGATGACTTTTCGATACATTTTTAAACGGTCCTTTTTTTTCCATTATTTTCTTTAAACGCGAAATAATGGGTTAATTGTGAATGAAGAATAATGAAAGTCAAAAATTATTTTTACTTTACGAGCAATAACATTTACGACTATTCCGGTTATAATAAAAAAATAATTATGTTTTCAATTTCAAGCAAATCAACGGCCGACGTTAAAACCGTCTAGCTTTATTCCTCAAAACCCACAAGAGCCGAAAAATGAAGACTTTTTAACGCATTTGTATTAAATTATGGAATGCTATTCATATTGATGATGAGTTTACGAGTAATTTTAGATCAGTATTATAGTTGAATTTTGTGTAGCCTAAAGTGTGCATATACAGTGGTGCCTCACACAACGAACTTAATTCGTTCCAGGAGCAAGTTCGTTATGCGAAAAGTTCGTTATGTGAAACGCGTTTTCCCATAACAATACATGTTAAAAAAAATAATTCGTTCTGTAGCATAAAATATGGTAAGATGACATAAAAAAAAGATAAATTTTTTGTTATTATTTTTATTTAGATACATCTAAAAACATAATGAAAAAAATCGTTGTAATGATGAACGATTGCCTGCGCGGAAGGATGCAATAAATCGGCAGTGATCGTGTGAAGTGGGCGACTTCGTTGTGTGAAGCGAAGTTCGTTGTGTGAAGCGAAGTTCGTTGTATGAATCGTGAAATGAACGAAAAGGAAGTTCGTTGTGTGCAGCGTTCGCTGTGCGAGGCGTTCGTTATGCGAGGCACCACTGTATAACAAATTTAATTTAGTATAGTGGTGGATCATTGCGATCGATGACACGATTACGTACATATACTTATGATCGATTTAACGACCATGCTCTGGCACTGGCAGCATATTGTTTTATGTTATTTGTTGCAAATAACAATCTATTGCGCAGTTTCTTGCATTTGCTGGATTACATTAATTATATTACGTTCAAGGTTGAGTCCTCAAACAAGCAACAAACAAACGCTTTACGAATGATACATGCATCATCATTCCAGATGATGAACGCCACATCCTCCGACACATACACATACACACAAACATGAACACGTGATTAAGCTCTTGATTTTCCTCCGATCAAATAATAATTTAATAATAACTTAATTCAATAGGAGAATTGCACGTCGTAGATCACTGCATTCCTTTTAAATGTTCGGAATTGTGTTTGTATATCGAAGGAAAATTTAAATTGTTACCAAAACTCATTTTAAAAGGTATTTTCGAATATAAAAGAAATACATCTTTATTAATATAATATTAACCGCCATTTTTGGATTTAATTTAACAATTAATTAAGTTTCGCAATATCTTATATTGTGGGACATCAATATAAGGTCGCAAAAATCTCGAGAAATGTCTGGGATGTCTGGTAACATTATTCATGGGAAAGCGAGTAGTTTAAATTTGAAGCCGACAATATAAAATAATATATATTTTTTTGGTCAGATGAATTAAATTAATTATTATTTACTGTTTTAATCCTTGCTACACCAGTTAATGATTTACATAAGTGTACTAGAATATAATCGTATTTTTCTGCAAGTTAATAGGCGATTCAACAAACAGACTTTTATAGCTGTCAATTACAACTTTGTAACTATTTAATATAAATATAGTTCGACTTTTAAAAACGAATTAGTTGGTTGAAGTTTACATTTTTGTACATATTATTGTTAACTTTTTTTTTTGGACCAAACATAATAATACAAAGTGGGGTTAAGGGACGTGTCAACAGGATAATTATGTGTATATTGTAAATAATTAGGTTCGGAAATTTGTGTTGTTTATCTCGCAGCTTCATTACATTTTTTCTCACAGTCCAAACTGTTCGTGCAGCTTGTTATTGTTTGTCGCTTAGAACTGTGCGCTATTAATATACATTCTACCAGAGTGATCAGAAATATAATGATTGTAATTATTGGTATGCTCGACGATCAAATAGCAAATAATTAAATTAATTGCAATTTAATGGGATCGGTGCATGGGGCCAAACAACTTTGGTTAATTACGAAAGCGATTAGAAATATTTCTGGCAGACGAATTTCGATGAGAAAAATGTTAGGTCGGCAAAGGGAACACTGGCGCGCACATGTTAAAAAAAATAAGAAGGTAGGTATGGTAGAGGGAGTGATTTTTTTTAAGTTGGGTGTGTGTGTGTGCGAGTGAGTGTATATGTAGTATATTATAGCGGGACTCACTCGGTTGCATTCCAGGGCCTCGGCCGAGTGCTCCTCTTTCTGCCGAAAGCAATTGGAACATTTGATCTTGTTGAATATATTCGGGGTGAATTTCTTGCAGTGAGACATAACTAAGTCAGGCTGGCTGCTGACCGGACTTATTGGCTGTTGACGATGGAAGTGGTGGTGGCCTTAGTTGTAGCAACGCACATGTCACCCATCACCCACAGGATCATCACCAAAGATTCGAAGAATACCGAATAACATTGTGTGTGTGCGCGTATGCCCGGAATTTACTGAATCCAGAGAGCGAGAAAGACGGTCCGAGAGGAGGGCGAAAAATAATATATGTAAAAAAAATACACGAACTACGAATACCGGTACGAAATCATATGCATGCGAGACCGTCTGCAACGTATATAATATCTATATACACCTGTTCTTCACTTATTGACTCCTACTTTTTTCCCCAAGTAAGCATTGCAAATGCTCCGTTCCATTTGAGGCACGTACACTCGCCACGAAACTTCTACTCGAACTAATCCGAGGACTAAATAATCGGCCACGGCATGCCCCATAGAATAACTCACTAAATCCCTCTCCAGTTCTCGAGCATTCTACTACCTCCACATTTGCTTCTACGCGCGTCAACATCAAAACACATATGCAATTTTATCGTGCTTATCTCTCCGTACCTCTCGCATCAACTATTCCATTCTGATTAAAAAAAACAAAAATACAAATAAATATCAATACCCCTTAACAATACGGTTTTTTTTTTGTTTTTCAATTTATTCTATTTGAAGGAAATCATCAGCAAACGGAACTGATCATTTATAAATATGTTTTATTTTCAAATAAAACTAGTAATATTTGTTTATTAATTAACCACTATATATATTTTAATTTTCCCATAAAAAAAAACAATTTTTGTTCTTCACATAATTCTAATTAAACTTAATTCTCATGTATAAATAAAAAAAATATTTATTAATTAACAATAAAAATATTTTCTGAATCAGTTGAACATACATAAATAACAATAATTAAAACGTATTTTATAATGAATTAAAAAATAATTTAACTGTTACAATTTATTAGTTTTATTTTAGATTTTTAGATTTAAATGATTATAAATATAATAATATTAACTTTATTAATTTAGAAGTATTAATCAAATTGTAATAACTCGTACAATGCAGTTTCGATCAGTCCGAATTCACTATAGTCCGGTTACAAAATGTCACTTTATACAGAACAATCTCTTTTATTTTTTTAATAAAAAAATCTAATATTTATTTATAGATACATTTTCTTTACAACTTACCCCATAACAAAAAATAAATACTTGTTACAGTTTACTTTGATTTTGAATAAACAAAATCATATTTAAATGTATAATTTTTAAGACAAAATTTGATTCAATGATTAAACATAATTTTTCTTTTTAACTTATACCAACATGTGCATACAATACGGTCGACTGTAATTAATATTAAAAATAAAAGTAATTTTACTACACATGTTTTTAATTACTAAAATATGTGAAGGACTTTTTATAAGCACCCAAAATAAGAAACTGAAAGAAAAAATATTGATCAATATTTTTGTTGGTTTTACAATTATTCGTAAAACAACTTGTTTAGTCTTACTTTTATATTATTTTTTTTGGTATTATGTGAAATATACATGGTGACCCAAAATCACAAAATTTATTTTTGACATCAAGTTTACTCCAAATAAAATTGAGTTAATCAAACGACGATTATTGTAAAACCCAGTGCATTTTTTTCATAGACATCTTTCGACGTTTTTGTTTCTAAGTTTTAAAAGTAACTTTTGCAAATTTGATTTTTGTTAAACCTAAATATTTCAATTGGTATATTTGTATTGTTGACATAACGTAAATGTAGTTATTTCGTATTCATGTCCCATCCCTATTGTAAACAACAACAATCCTAATAACAGTCTCTGTACTTTGCTTATTAACTATATTTACAAACAAACAGGAATCATCAATTTGACAAATACATAAAACATTTTATTGTGAATACTAATAGAAATGTGCAATGACTATTGAAACGAAATGATTTAAAAATTACTGAATATTCGCAAAATATTTGTTTGTCCATAATTATTTTCGTAGTTATAACTGTAATAGAAGTACTATTATAACAAAAAAAATATATTATTTAAGACAAAAATAATTCGCTTTACTTTCATAAACCGAAAATTTACTGCAAATATCTGTTTTAATATACTCAAAATATATTTTAAGTAATGTACTTATAATATTTATAACAAGTTTTGGTTTATTTAAAAATATATAGAAATTTTTGTAAGAAGATGATTTGCATACAAATATAAAAATGTAATTTAAAAAATATATAAGCCAAATATTTTATAATAATAAATTTATTAACACATTTCTCATTTCCTATAAAAAAAGTATTCACCAAATTAATGTAGACCCTTGTTCAATTTTTTAGTTGCATATTTATAAGTCTTATCTTAATAGATCACCTAATTATCAGCAGGAAAAAACACCGATTATATCGACGAGGTTAACTACGCTTAAAGAGAACGTGTGGCTGAACTCGTTGCTTCTATAATATTAATTATATTTTGCTTAAAAAAATAATATTCATTCTGTTAATGTTTATTGTTGAATCGTTATCATGTTTGTATTTATTAATTTATTTCTTAATATCGATAGACCTATCAAAATAATTACATTTACTTTATCTTTTAAACAAGTATTTTATCTTCAACTTGTAACATAAAATATAAGGATACTCTATTTTATATCATGTGCAGCAGAGTTCTTCAACTAATTGCATTCGGAACCTTGCGATATAGTTGTCACTTACAGTTCAATGGTAATTTTCCGCGTAACCCTTCAGAAATTTCTCGAAATCCAGATTGAAAAACCTTGATGTACCGGATTAACTCCCATAATACCCATATTCCACCAATATCGCACACATTAACGCTACAAAATAACTGAAGTAAACAAAATTAGAACTAGTTATTTTTAAATAAATATTTTTGATATTAAATTAATTAAAACAATGGATATCTGAAGGATATTTAGAAAGGAGCGGACCGTTAAAATTTTACGGGCTAATATTGTTTGGGGACTACGTGGGTTAATTCCAAGTTGTTTGTTGATGAAATATCCCTTATAGAAATAGGGTCGTAAAAGGGAAGATTTTAGACATGGCCTTCCCTGTTACGGCCTAGCAACTTATGTATATTAAGTTGCCTATATTTGAAAAGATTATTAATATTTACACAGTTTCTTGTATATATTGAGAACATACAGAAAATATATATATTGTTTTCACTTAATTTCCAAAAATAATTTAAATTTGTGCCTGTTTATGAATACAATTTGTATTTCAACTACCTTTGCCAACCATAACTTGACTACGTTTTATTTATTTTTTATTAGATTTCTAATTCAAATCACACCGGGAACCAAAATTTAAAAAATAGCAGAGTACGGATACGTTGGGATAGGATGTAAAACCGTAAGTATTTAAAAAAAACTATATAAGCCAACCAAATGCTATTGGATCATGAAATAATCATTTCCATTTTGGAATACTTCTCATTATCTGTGGTTATCATTTACTGGTGTAGGATTACTTGATGCGAGAAATAAACAATTCAAATATTAGCATCTCTTTTCAGATTTGAATATTTACATATGAACAGCTGATTGTCAGTTCAAGTCAAATTTATATGCGTCTCTGAAAACCAGTATTGATCGGCGATAATTATGACACGAATACAAAGGTTACTTTTGGAGTTGTAGTTGATATATTCGGTGTTCCATCAGATAGAACAATGGAAGAGAAGCGCACAATGGTTTGGAATATTGCAAGCTCCATTGGAATAGCACTGACAATTCCATATATTCTGTATAAAGTAGTACGGGCAGTTTACATTAAAAAAGTTTATGGAGCATTAGCTGGAAAAGTAATGTATTTGTAAATATCAATTATTAATTACATTAATTATATTATTTACAGGTTGTGGTAATAACTGGGGCAAGTTCTGGACTGGGTGAAGCTTTGGCCCACGAGTTTTATAAAAATGGATGTCAGGTGGTGTTATGTGCAAGGAGACGACAGGAACTGGATAGAGTTAGGATGGACCTTTTAAAGATGCATCCCACAGTTCCTACACTACACCCAATTATTGTTCCTCTTGACCTTGGCAACTTGGATCAGTTGCCTTCTAATGTTGATAAAATAATTGCCCTAACTGGTCATATTGATATACTAATTAACAATGGAGGTATTTCCAATCGTGGATCAGCCTGTGATACCAAATTAAGTGTTGATATGGAATTGATGAAGATTAACTATTTTGGAACAATTACTTTAACTAAAGGTATATTACCATCAATATATTTTATATTTCATATGTGATTTAATAAAATGTATTTTTAGCTGTATTGCCAAGTATGGTGAAACGCAATCAAGGACATATAGTTTCCATTAGTTCAGTACAGGGACTTATTGCAATTCCTGAAAGGTCTTCTTACAGTGCATCAAAGCATGCATTACAGGCTTTCAGTGACAGTTTAAGAGCAGAAGTCAACAAGCACAATATTCATATGACTGTTGTTAGTCCTGGATACATTAAGACACAATTATCTTTGAACGCTTTAACTGGAACTGGCGCAAAGCATGGACAACTCGATAAAAATACCGAACAAGGATACACTCCAGAATTTGTGGCTAACAAGATTTTGAATAGTGTTGTGCAAGGGAAAAAGGAAGTAGTAATAGCATCATTTATTGCGCGCATTGGCATTTTTCTGAGAAAATATTTCCCCACTATTTACTTCTTGGTGATGGCACATAGAGCAAATAAATCACATTAATTGAATAGCTCAAAATTATTGAATTTAATTCACATCTCCCTCTCATCTTTTAATGTGTTAATATTCGACGTTCTTTAAAATAAAATTTATTAATAAGAATATTTACAAACAACATATGCATATTTGCATTTGACAGTAATTATCCATTTAAATACTAAACTTGTTTACCATCATATCTTCATCATTGAAAATGTTAAGGCATATTACTTAAAGAAAACAATATAAAACAATAAAAACCAAACAAACAGAATGTGCATTGATTGAATAAAAAAAAGATATTTACTTTGTATTGTACTTGCTGTCTTTCATTTCAACCAAAAAGAATAAAAGAAAAAAATACAAACAAAAATGCAATCAATTTCATCAAACTAGATGCACACTTCTAGCTACATTCTCCTTAAAAATGCCTTTTCTTTTTTCAACAAAATGCGTTCATACTAATTTTGCATCGACTACCAATTGAGTAAAATTAATAGGAGTTTCTTTAATTTTCTTTAGGAAGATATTAATTTTTACTTGATCGACTTGTATAACCTGAAGGTGCAAATCGCTGCAGCTGACAGCGAAACTGTCCAATGTAAGATTTTACGTTTTGTGTCATCTTTTCTCACTAATACAACTGGAGATGCAGCAGACATAGCACTTAGCACTGGTAACCTAGCTAATTTTCGCGGATCTCTTTCCACCTTAAAACAAGTACATACATATATCATTAAGACCAACATTTTCTAGAATCATTAAATCTTACTTGGTATTTTACACAATTATCAAATTGCCATGATGCTGTATAAAGTCCAGTACTTAAAACTGAGATAACACCCATTGGTGTACAAATTATGGGATTTTCTTGCCATATAATACCTGAAAATACAAATAACATTATGATGAAGCAAATTGTATATTCATAAGTAATTAAAAACCTGAAATAATTGCTCCAAGTCCTGTTAATACAGCTGTTTTATGTAAACAATTTCCAACACTAATCCAACGTGCAGTCTCATCCCCTAATTGGGTTGGCTCAATTACAATAACACAGCACCGAGCATCTAGTGCTCTTTCTAGTTCCATAGCAAATGTTTGATGTGCAAATTCGCTATCATATACTTCTCTAATCACAGCCTCATTAGACGAGTGTAGAGCCCTAAAATATACATTAACGAAATTCAAAAAAACCTTTGTACATTTTGTTTTTTTTTTCTGAAATCATACCTATCACCTCCGGCATCCATTTTCGGAGTGTTATGATTTTCAATCTCAATGATTAAGCCAAATGCTCCAAATCAGTTTCTTTGTGCCAAAATTAAAATTTTACGTACTTCATTTGAAGGTTATGTCAACTTTGTTCTCATAACACAAACTCAATGTTGCCATACCCCAATATAATGATCATCATATTTAATAGCATACACATAATTTATATTCGAAAGAATTTCACATCATACAATATTTTTTCGAATAATTAGCACCTTACAATTTAAATTTAATTCATTTGAATTATACTATAGTGGAAGTATTATTATGATCTTTTAATATTTTGTTGAGCGGATAATATATTTACTTAACTAAATTAGTTTGTTATCTCTTGAAAAGTGACGATGATGTTTACAATTCAGAAGCACCGTACCGGACTTAAGATCCCCTTTATAACGTTTTTCTTGTTACTTTCATTATAAAATCATGATACATATCTATAATGTAAATATTTGTAGCATTGAATAGCATTAATTTTCTAAAGATGGAATAATTCAAAAAATACTAAGAATTCCTTAAGTGAATATTCTACAATTTCAAAATTAATGCTCATTGATGTTGATTGATATATTTTTCTTAAATAAAGTTGAAGTTTGAAGTTTAAAAATATTTATTTAGAGTAGATACATACATTATAAATATATAATATACTTAAATAAAATCAGAATAAGCCTTATATATGTTTATTTATGTAACCCACCTCACAAATCCTAGTTAGTACTATAATGTGTTTTCGTAAAGTTGTTCACACTGCATCACCAGTTTTTAACGTACGAAATTTTAAAATCAACGACAGTCTAACGTTTATTTATATAATATCAAGGAAGTAGAACGCACACCTGCCTCTGCTCCATGTGTTTTTTTCTTTATTGTCAATATTTTCTATAAATAAGTGTGGTTATTCATCGTCATAACGATGCGTTTTATGAAAACTCATTTTGTGTTGCTAATAGTGTATATTTTCTGCGATGTAAATGGCATTTTCCTTGATTACGTGAAAAATATTGGCGCAAGTTTGGGTTTACCAAATTATTCCAGTGTAGAGGACCATGAAACAGCTGTTGAGGGCTTTGATAATGAAATTCCATATGAGGTTTCTTTGACTGATGAAAAATTTATTGCTGAAGCAATAAAGCTCACAGGAGTTGCTGTATCAGAGTTGGATAGCTGCCAACATAGAGTAATGGATATAATATAAAAATATATTCCAACAGATTTTATAAACATTATTTTTCAGGTGATATTGAAGTTGCATACAGACTGCCATTCTTTAAATGATGAGATGATCTCTAAACTGGCTGTGGCATTATTGAATTGCCAGTCGCATGTGGAGAACAGAAAAACTTATCCATGCAATGAAGAAATGAGCCTTAAAGATTGCACTAAAAACATGGATCAAATTGCCTGGAATAGTTACCTATTAATGACCAATCGAGCAAGGGCAGTTTGTTACTCAGTCCGACAATCACAATTCAGGGGCCTCACAGAGCACACAATAAATAGGTTGATGAGTGCTGCAAAAAATCAACTTGGCACTCTTAGTAAAATTGCTGAAGATCAAGAGAATATCCAAAGCATTGCTCAAAATACTTTGCAAAGTGTTACTATTGGCCAGCAAGAGATGGTTGAACAGCAGAAGAATTTACAGAAAGCTCAGTTTATAGGACAATTAGCAATTGAATCTAATATAAATAGGCTGAGTGAAGAGAAAAAAATAATTATGGACAGTCAAAGGGAACTTGCATCTATGACTAGTAGTATGAAGTTAAGGTTGGAGGAGGCTTCACAACAATTGCAGAGTCAAGCTGTAGAAAGTACTGATAATCATAAAACTTTGATGAAAGATTTGTATGATATTCAGGAAAAAACAAATAACATTTTTAAAAGGATAGATGAGTCATCTCAATTATTAATTAGACAAAGTCAATTAGCACAGCAACAATATCAGGCCACAATCAATCAATTGTCTGAAGTAAATGCTACTGTTAATTCATTGGTTTCATTGGTTGGAGGAACTAAGCAAGCTTTGGAAAATAGACTTAGTTGGATTGTAAATCACTTGGGTGGTACAGATGAAGCCCTTGATAAGGTTTATATCATTTTGTGGCATATATTGTTTTTGTTAACTGCAATGATTGCTTGTGCATTTTTGGCTGCTAGAACTAGTACCCGCTTAGTTGTTGTTATAATGGTCCCTACAAATTTGGCCTTGTCTATGTACAAATCACCACATGCTTCTGATGCAGTAACACTAACTACTGCTTTGACTATTTTCATTATGTGTAAGTAAATATATCATATAATTTATACAATTTATTTACTAACATTTATTATATTTGCAGTACAATACACATTTGTAGCGATTCATAGTATCGCTAGGACCCGTACAAAAACCCCACAGTTAACATACAGAACGCCTGAAAAGAATGCTATTACACCAAAGTCCGAAACTAAAGAAGTTAACGAGTGTGAATATAAACCTTCACCCGTAAGAAGAAGATTCGAGGATATTGTAGATAATTTTGAGAAATCCCATTTGGATAGTAAATACGAAGACGAAGAGGATAGTTTCGATGAATATGCTTCTCCGACACCCCCTCTATCCCGGATTGGTCACTATAATAGGTCTCGTAGTCAAACACCTCTGTTTAAATCAACATTAATTGCTAGCAGGGTTAATTGCAAAGCTAACACTAGGCTTGGCAGCGCATGTAAAAATACATCAATGCCTGGTAGAGATTTCTGCCATAGACATCAGAAAGGAGATTCAGTGATTGCTTAAATGATTGTTTGCTACTTTTAATTAGAATAGATAAATATGGTATTTAAGTTTTAAAAAAATCTAGTTCATCTTAATATTATTTATAGAAGGAACTTTTAAGTTATATATTTTTTTAGATATCAGAAAGGAGATTTAGTGATTGCTTAAGTTATTGCTACTTTTAATTATAATAGCTAAATATAGTATTTAAGTTTCAAAAAAATCTAGTTCATATTAATATTATTTATAGAAGGAACTTTTAAGTTATATATTTTTTTTAGATATCAAAAAGGAGTTTTAGTGATTGCTTAAGTTATTGCTACTTTTAATTATAATAGCTAAATATAGTATTTAATGTTCAAAAAAAAACTAGTTCATCTTGATATTATTTATAGAGGGTACTTTTAAGTTACATAAATTCTAATTTTAAATGTAATTCATAAATAGTTTTTATTTGCAATTTTAAAATAAACAATTAAATATAAATTAGAAAATTTATTCATCATTCTTGAACAAAATTAAATCGTATATAAGTAATAATAATAAATTTAACTTGTATGGAAATTGAAACAATCTAAGGCAGGTAAATCCAAAGATAAACCATTCGCGGTCGATATTTCTTCTTCAACCTCAGTCAGTTTCTTGAAACGCTCATTTACAAACTGGTCCACGTTCATAATATCATCACTACTCGTACTCGTATCCAAGATATTGCTTACATGCCCAGAGGTATCGGGCAATATTAATTCGTCGGATATGTCGGCAGATAATAAATGCAATTTGTGCAAATCAAATTCTTCTCCCTTTTTACCCAATTCTTTCTTCTCTTGGCTCAAGTTCATAATATCGTTATACAAACTTTTAACGTCCCCTTTGACATCTTTCTCAATTTTGTTTTCACTCAATATATTTATGTTCTCATCGCTAGCACCAGTACTTAAGATATTATGAATTGTGTTAGGAAATATATCTATCTCCTTACCGTGTTTGTCAAATTGTAAATTTGATTTTACTTCAAAATTTTCATTTTTTGTATTATTTTCAAATGAAAAATTATTATCGGAGTATACAGTGTCATAATTGTTTTTTCTCTTGTCTAGAGGTTTTGCTTCATTCAAATCATCCAAAATCGTATTTACAAAACCATTATGATTTTTAACTTCTTTATCCTCGAATAAATCCTTATTCGACTCTTTCAATACATCCATTATATCGCTTTCAAAATGCAAGTTCATATTGTTTTCATTCAATTTTTTATTGCAATCCAGTTCGTCGCCCAATGATAAAATATTATGACAGCTGCTTGTTTCCTTTGTTGCTTGATGCTTTTCAAGCGGTTTAACTCTTGGTTCTTCGGAGAGAACGTGATCTGCAAAATTATCATCTAATAATTCCAGGAACGAAAAAATTGAAACGTCTTTGCACAGTTCACTTTCGCTAAATCTATAATCGCCTTCTTTTATATTTAGTATTGACGCAAGCAATGAATCTACATAATATTGGGACCTATGCACTTTGACGGGCTTAAAAAAGTACTTAACGAGTATCCGAGCATTCCGAATTAAGTTCAGAATTTCTTTACAGAATTTTGTACCCTTATTACCCACTTTCGATTTCAATGCTAACTCTATCAAGAAGCTCCATGTCTCGCTGTCTTCCATGTTAAATTGCGATAATGTTTCATGTTCCGGATGCCTATTCAGATGCTGCATTATTCGGTTCCTACCTAAATACGCCTTGTGACAGTATGTACATCTGTATTGTGCAGGGATAAGACGTTTTCGTTTTGCTTCTTTGGACGTTTTTGGATTTGTAGTATTTTCTTTAGTAGTTCTTTTAATTTTTTTTGGTGGTGGACAAGTGTCAAATTCTACTGTGGACAGGTCTTTATGTTCACCTAGACCTCTATCATCACTTACAATTATCTTTTCATAATCCTAGAATGAATGATCAACATAAAATCAAAATTAAATTTTTACACTAGACTCCCACAAAACGCGGTTAATACGGTTTCCTTGCATAACATGGATAATATTTGGAATGACTATTGCGCTTTGTAGGAAAATCGCGTTATATAAAAAAGTTTTACGCGCTGTATTAACTTTATATAGAAGTCTACTGTATATGCAAAATACCTTCTCCATATGCATAGGTGGCCTTGTAATTCGTCCAGATCTTGTTCTAGTTGTTTTTACTATTTTAGGGACTGTTAGTGGTTTTGGTTCCACATTTTCCTCAACTTTTTTTCTTGGTCTCCCTCTAGGTAAAGAAACTAATGGTGGAACTGCAATATTAGGCTGTCACAAAAAAACAACATTAAAATGAGACTAAGATACGACTATTATATATACCTTCAAATTTAGATCTTCTGGTTGTATGATTTTGCAATTGTAACGTGTTTTCAATTCTGATGATTTTATATATATAGGTTCCTCTTTAATAGGATTTATGCAAACATTTTCAACCTGTATTATTTCATTTGGAGACATTATGTTCTCGGTTAAATCAATGCCAAGAGCTATTCCTTGTTCTCTTGTTAATTGAATTAGTTGTGTAGTGCCATCAACCTAGAATAATAATACATTTGCTAATCACAATATAATTGAAAGGAATATAAGAATTATACCATTTCTACTTTGAGGTAGGTGTTTTCTATTAGTGGATTTCCATTATTAAAGAGCTGTGGAATATTGGTGTTGCACATGTTAGTAATCATTTTGAGTTCCGTTATATCACCTCATTCCGATAATAAATTATATCAATAAATTCAAAAATATAAATAATTAAATACTATCAAACAATCATAAATACATCACCAAACTAAGGTTATGTTCAATTTTATTAATTTTGGAACTTAACCTAGATATATTGACGTTCAGGAAAACAACTTCAGTTTTGTTTAGCTTTTGCTGATTAATTGGTTGCCTATAATTAGAATTCTTGTTATTTTGAATGTTACAAAAAATATTTTCGAGGAATTGGTTTATTGAAAAGAAAACTGAATTATTTGAACATTTTTTTTATTAATTTTCAGTTATATCAATTATTTGCATTAAGTAAATCTCTAGTGAACATTACTCAAACACTTACCAGTAAGAATAACTTAGTTTTAATAAATAATTAAATATAATGTACAAATTATAATTTAATAATTTTTCAATAACACATAATAATGCATGATGGAAATACTATTGCGCGTTATAAATTAATTTAGAAACATTGCATAAAAGCAAAAAAAAATTCTAAAAAGATTCTTGTCTTTTCGTTTAAAAAATTTGATAAATTTTCTTTTTAAATAAAAATCGATAATAGCGTAATTGCTTATAGAGGCATTTCAAAGTTAATACCCAATTTGGCATCCTTAGCCATGCTAACAATCTTAGATAACTTGACGACCAACCTAGCTGCCTCGTCCAAATTATCTACGGGTAAAATCTTCAAACCAGAATTGCCGATAAGCACTTTAGCATCATCGACGTTGGTACCCTGAAGACGGCACACAATAGGTAGTTTAATGGACAATTCCTTGGCAGCGGCGATAATACCTTCCGCAATGACATCGCATCTAAGAAAGATTCAAAGTTTAAATATTTATCTATATCATTCATATTTTGTTTGGTCTATACAAACCTCATGATACCACCGAAAATATTGACAAGGATGGCATGACATTTGGGATCAGCTGTGATAATTTTGAATGCCTCCTTTACGGCTTGAGCGGTAGCGCCACCGCCAACATCCAAGAAGTTGGCAGGGCTTCCACCATGCAAAGAAATGATGTCCATGGTAGCCATTGCCAGACCAGCTCCGTTCACCATGCAGCCAATGTTACCATCCAAAGCAATGTAATTCAAATCGAATTTCGCGGCAGCCACTTCCTTTTGGTCTTCTTGAGTCCAATCGCGCAACGCGAATAGTTCCTTTTGACGGAACGCGGCATTATCGTCAAAACGGAATTTGGCATCCAATGCGAAAACTAAAACATTCAACTTAGCAATATTTCTTCTGCATGGTGATTCTATACTTACAGTTGCCTGGAGATTCTTCAGCATAAGGGTTTATTTCAACCAAAAGGGCGTCCTTCTTCAAGAACAGTTGATACATCTTTAATAGCATTTCTGTGGTTTTTTCCTTTTGACTTCCTAATCCTACTTTGGTAGCAACCCTTTCTGCTTGTTCCTTTGACAAGCCTGTAATAATGTCAATGGGTTCATAAGTGATGGCATCTGGATTTTCAGCAGCCACTTCTTCAATATTGACACCACCTTGTGAAGAAGCAATAATTACTGGTCCCTATAAACAAAATATTATAAATTGATATATGAATAACTGTGACTACAAATGCATACTTGGAATGATCTTTCCATCATGACTGCAAAGTAATATTCCTTCCTTGGAAATTTCCTTTCTGCTACCATAACAGCATTGCAAATTCTGCCTTTCTCTCCAGTTTGCTTGGTAATCAAGAAATCTCCAATCATCTTACCACAGAGATCTTCAGCCTCCTCTGGACTGAAATATTATTTCAATATTTTATGAAGTGTTTATTATTTTTTATTTACCTGAAAACCATTTTGACTCCACCTCTAAGCCCTTTCTTAAAATGACCTCTACCTCTGCCTCCAGCTAAAACTTGTGCTTTCAACACCAAATCATTTGTATTCAAACTTTTGGCAATCTCTTTCGCTTCAGCTTTGGATTTAGCAACACCAAACTTTGGTACTTGGATGCCAGCCTCCTTGAGGAGGGTGTAGCTAATGTGTTCATGCACATTGAGATTTCTTTTCTGCTGCACTTGTGGTTGCCAAATCTGGGAACCTCCCAATGAGCCCAAAATCTATATTAAAATAATTATATAATTTCAATTGAATATCAAAGTAGGTTATGTCATTCAAAATAGTTATATAGGTGAATAGGATAATGAATATCGGGACTGAAAGAATTGTTTTATTAAAAGATTATGTGACCTTATATAATTGCAGTTTGCGAAGGTTGCGGAATACAACCTATTGCAAAATCGATCTGGGAATGAAGGTGACATTCGAAACGTAACGGGAAAACGAATAGCTGGACGCGAATTCAATAATTATTAATTACAGCTAAAGTTTACTTACTTTTGTGCCGTTTTTGATGGCCAAATTCTCGGCCAAACCGAACCCTCTCAGAATGGTAGCCATTGTTATAATAGATTTGGATCAGGTGCCAAAGGCGCAAGTGTGTGGTCTGGGTGACGTTTCGTCGCTGTTCGATTTTATAAATTTAAAACGCTCACTTGGATTACCAACCGCGATTTGTTTTTGTGCTATCGCAGAATGCAACTAAGAGCTCCCTCGTTTATCACACAATATATCGTTGAAATATCGACTTCGCAGCACCACCCAAATGCGCGAACTATATTATCAAACAAGTCGTGTACGCTTCTAGGTTTCGAATAATCTCGGGTTCAAAGTTCGCATGCCTATTGATTTTCTTACTAGTGTCGTATGCGCAATCGTCCACAGAAAAAATTGTAATAGAAAAACACAGATTATGTTTATAAAAAAAGTACATGGACAACGATCACATTTTTTTAGTTATCACTGAAATTATTTTATAAATGTTTTGGACATACTCTAAATATACTCTTGATAACGATTAAATTTTACTGTTTGTATTCTCGATCATAAAAAAACTTTTTAAACATATAATTTGTCTACTTGTTAATATACTATTATTTCAAGACAGAAATTTTTGTTGGAACTACTATTTATATTAGTAAAATAGAATTTATTACATCAGAACAATGTAATACATGAATCAATATTCGTTACATGTAATAATTTGACTTTACAGAACCAATAAGTTTTCAAACATAGCATCGACTACGAGGCCTATCACTTTATTTGATAACAGTTCTATTTTATTGATAGTCCATGTACTTACTATCTTGACATGCGTTGTCTTATTTTCGTAATATGCGGAACAACAAGAAAAATAATATAAATTGTGATTTTATAATAATACTGTTAATCTCAAGGTTATTGAGTATGATTTTATTGATTTATTGGTTGCATATAATTAATTATACCAAAATAATATAAATCTTCGGAATCAAATAAAAAAAATCCTGTAATTTTTTCTGTCAATTCAAATGTAATTTCGATAAGACATCTCGATTAGAGTATATAAATATGAGTTTTATAATTACTGGCAAAAATTATCAAAACTTCTTTTATAAATTAAAAAAAAAATCATTTATAATTTGTAAATGATTAATTTCAAAATTGTCTTAATTAATTTATAATGTTAAAAACCTTTTTTTTTTCTTTTCCTTTGAAAATGTTTGATCCTGATTTAGGAAGAAGTGTTATTGTTAAGTGATCAGTATTAAATGCAATAAATAATAGGCAATTGTTAAATGAAATAAAATAAAAGCGCAAACTTTGGATTAATTAATTACAATGTGATTTGTCTTTGTATATAATTATATTGTTTATTGAATAAAACATTAATACACGAAGAACCCATTCTGGTCATAGTATGCTTACTTCAGAAAATCAAGTTTTGCTTTGTGAAGTAATTTCGTGGAATGCATTATATTCGTTAATCGAAGTATGTCCTAATCCTATTTAAACTTATTATAATTTATGAATAATCTTTTGTTTTAGTTCCAAAATAAAATAGCAACCTATATAGCATTAAAAAATATTATATCTTATTTGCATTTTATCTGTAATAGTACTTCAAACTTTATCTGTTATCTAAGTGCATTCTTAAAGATTAACGCGCGATGCATCTAACTAGTATTTTATTATCGGTTATAGATTTAGTACAATGAACGCTTGCGATTTTGCTTCAATTTATAACTAGTTGGTTCTTGAGATTGACTTTTGTACTTAGAAACTGATCGCGATCGACTTTTCTATTTAATAAGTTATTACGATCAACTCGATCTATAAAAATAAAGTTTTTTTGTTTCATTTGACTTGCTTCATATTCGAACCAATCAGTTTCAACTGTTTACGATCGACTGTTCTGTTTTAGTATGGAACTTCTGAAAGATTTTTTACTGAAATGCAAAAAAAAAAACATGGAAATAGCCAATCTTGACTGTCGCCGAAAGAGCTAATATATAAAGTTTAAGTTCAACCAGTATATCGTAGTTTCAAAAGGGATCTTTTGAATTCGGTCTACATAACGAAGACTCAGTGTAGCTCAAAGAAATCTTCCAAGAAATCTCAGGCATTAATTACCGCTGGATCTGAAGGTACCCTTTTGAGGTTTGTAGTATAAGTCTTTATAATACTTTATTTAAGCGTCACACAACAATGCGTACACATATTTTTGGCTTTTCTTTTTATTGTTCAAAGGTCAAAAATATCTATTCTTTTGTATTGTCCGTTTAACGTTTGTGCTTACCTTTTAATGTGTTTAAAAGTTCTTCTTTACAATATTTTGCTTGCTCAAGTAGTCTGAATCCATATCATATAAAAAATACTTAATCTTTGGGTAGATGAATTTTTTTATGGTATTCGAAAATTTTTGCTATTTGTGGTATTGCAAAGTTATTTTGACTTCCTAATTTTTTATTTTGTGAGCGGGGGCAAGTTTTTTTCATGATTACATTTAATAATCATTGAAATCATCAATTCCAATATTTTTAAATAAATTATATTTCTAGAAATTCTTTGACTATTCAATTGAATTTTGATTTCGCTGTTTAAGCCACCCACTTAGGATATCTGGCATAGAGCGGCTTTGCTCAATTTTAATTGAAGAAAATAAAAATTTGGTACACACTATGTTTTTTATACTAAATCTAAATCGTTTTTATTTTCCTTTATACAGTGAAGTTTATTTATGTGCTGTTTTTAAGTTATATAGTTCCTCGATTAGTCCTGTTTCTAACAGTTCTGCAACTGGAGGAACAAAACTATGAAGTAACGCACATTATTACAAATGTCCCATTTAATCTTAGAAATATCTCTAATATCATTTTACAACATTTTTGTGTGTTTGGATATTAATAAGTTAAGACTTGTTATTCTTATATTTCATAACATTTTCACTCTATAGTATTACGTCTCTAAAAAGGATTCTTGTTTTCCATCCCATTATTATAGACAAGTTAATTTTTTTTTTTAATTATAAAAGAGATTTATATCAATTTACTTATTGATATAAATCTCTCCGGCCACCACAAATTTTTGTTGATTTTTCGGAATTGAACCAACGACCTTTCGTATCAGATTTTCGTGATATAGACAAATTGTTTATATTGCTATTAGTTAACTATGAGTATGTAATTTGATTATTTGTTTGTTATATTATTATTTAGTTGGTATCAAAATCGAATAGAATCATTTTGAATAACAACTTTTATTCGGTAAATTAAACATAGAATATGAATCATATCTTCTATCAAATTACGCTTATCAATTATTAGTGAGCAGAAATTATATTTAATAACATAGATTGTAATCAGAACATAACGAGATACTTCAAATCACACTCAAATGGTAATTTAGTATATTTACTGATTTAAAAAAAAATCAGTAAATATTCTAAATTTTGTGTGCAAAAGAACTATTAACTTTTAATAGAAAAATAAAATATTAAAAAAAACATTTACTTATAAAAAAGTAAAATTAATTGAATTAATTAATAATAACAAATACGAAATAAGTTTAATTACCCGTCAAAACACTTTTTTAAATACTCAAATCCAATTATTATTGAGAATTAAAATGTGCACTTAAGCAATGTAGAAATTATAATGTTAATAATATTAATAATAATAAATATATTCTGTTCCGTGTCGTTCTGTTATCCAAAATAAAAAATATTTCCTTCCTAAATTAATTTTTGAAGTAGTTATACATTGAAACGCCAATTATCCGGGTTTCAATTTGACTTGATTCGGTTTATAAGTTAACAAAACAAAATATCTGCAAATCTGTCGTTTAGTAAATTAAATATTTTTTATCAGATTACCTTTTAAAATGATAAAAAAGTGTATTAATCGGTATTTTAATGTAAAACATCTTTATGTGTAACGTCACTTTCAATTTCCGACTAATAAAAAACGAAATTAGCGGTATTTTTTTTAATCAAAATATACCGGTAATTTCTGTAATAATATTAGCTAGGGTTACCGTCGTATCGGATTTTGTGATATAGGCAACTATAATATATAATCATTATAATGTTAATTTAACCCTTTCCAGCACAGTGATTCCAAATGGAATCATTAATTCTAAATTCAATTTTGTATTTTGGGCCGGAAAGGGTTAAATGTATCAAATGTTTGAGTCTTATTATTAGCTGTTATTGTTATTACACAGTTTTCAGAAAATAACTTGCGATAGTGGATAATATTGTGAATTTGTATTATAAATATTCTGCGATATTTTTTTAATAAAATATTAAAAAAAAAATTGGTTTATATTTTGTAGGACGTAGGTTAATAAAAATTTTTTTTATTATTATATTAATTTAATTTATTTCTTTTCCTTGTTTTTGCAATTTGTTTCGATTAATATTATTGTGACAATTTAGTCTACCCCATACTGCTTTATGTAAAATAATTTTAGTCTTAGGAGACGCATCGAAACATAGCTCACATAGCTTTTGACAGTTCACTAAATAAATAAAGAATAAATTAAAGTAGTTATTTACGATCTAATTATCATTGAAGTACATAAGAAATGATTGATCAGTCCGTGTAATCGAACAAATCATCTTCACCGGGCTGCAAAATAGATAACATCTCATCTTCATCGAAACCCTATAAAAAAATATAAAACATTACTAAAACTATGAAATAAATGATTAAAAATATCATACATAATCTATTGTAACAGGCGTCGGGTATGTGCAGGGTAAGCACTCCATGTAGGAGACACCAGTATTATGACCGGTGCATTCGCAAGTTTTGCAAGTGCTCGGGACAGCAGTACGAGCGACCCTTTTTGCAAAAACTGTTGCAATTTTCTTTGCCGACTTTAACTTTTCTGTCTCTAACTTTTTGCCACTGAATACGGTACCTGAAAATCAATTATATAATAATCTTCTACTTCACATAACTTAGAAACTTACCATTAGTTTCCAGCGCCAGTGGAGTACAATATCCTAAAGTAGACTTTGGAAGTTGCACTGATTTTCTTAATGTAGCATCACCCCGTAACTCGTCTGCATCTTTCTTTGTGTATGCCAAAGTTCTGTCCAATCCTATTTACAACATATTTATATTATTCTTTAATGTTGATCTAAATATTTAATTTAATAAAGATAAATACTTACCGAACAAGTTTTTATTCACTCGTGTCTTTTTCAATTGGAACTCTTCATTCATTAATATGTGCAGTGTTATATCATTTTCCAATAGCAATTGGTGCAATATCGCGTAATCCAGCTAAAAATAAATAATTAAATTATAATAATAATATATAAAGATTCATTCTTTAAATTGAAATTCAACCTTTAAGTTCAAATTTTAAGATGTATTTAGTAATTATCATTTCAACGAGGGTTGATGATAAATATTGAGTCTTTGATTTCACTCACCTTCATATTCGATTCTTGACAACTTGTGCATGGTAATAGAACAAAGGTCTTCGATACCCCAGGTCTGAATATCAATTTTGCAGAGTATGAGATTGCCGCGTAGATGTCCAAACTGCCATTGCCTTAAATAAAATGTTTTGTTAACATGATGAATATCAACTAAAAAATATTAATTACCGATTGGTATGTGATCAAAGTAGGATGAGATAAAGTGATGCTCGGTAAATACGTTGCTGTTGATTACGACACTCCTCGGCTTATTATAAACTCCGTCACCTCCAAAAAGTACCACTGAATATCTGCGAAAATACATAATAAATGATAGTCTACAAAATGATATCATAAAGTATTTATATTACCTATTGTCTCTGACTCCGTGTACATTTAGTTCGCGGTTCAATTGTTGCACAATTTCATCCAATTTCTTTCTTTGCCGCACATCTTTGTTGCAGTCTTTAGCTTCAATTATGAAAACAATATCAGCCGATTGCGGAACTGAGGCAGCATCCAGAGACACAAATTCGCCTTCGGCTACAATACTTCCATTGAGCATACTGCATCTGCAATTTCAAATAAACATATTTGCTTTGAAATTTCCAATACAAAATAACATACAAATAAAATATGGTGTCATATTTTTACGTGTGTAGATATCATAAATTTTACAAAAAACTTACTTGACACATGCATCTGGTATTCTAAGGGGAGTATTAATATAAGAACAAAGTTTCATGTATGCGATGGCTGAGGAGCAAGCTTCCTCTTCGTTGTGACTCTTCAAACACATTTCGTAGAATGGTATATTATCGACTCTATGGAAGCAAGTTGAAAATGGAGAGACTGTACTGTTAAAGAACGAGTAACACATGGTCCTTAAATATTGCGTCTGTTTACGAACAACAGAAGAAACTGCGAGATCTCTTGTCTTTGTTGGACAGTTTTGATCTAACGACCAACTCTGACCGAACTGCTGTACATCATCCAATATCTTTTTATTTGGCGCGGAAAGATCATCGAATGGTTCGTTGTTCATAGTTCCCCAAAGACCGGCAGTTTTTCCAAAGTACCATCCTGTAAATGACATGTTACAGTATTGCGATTTTTTTGCAAATATAATTTAAACAAACCCGAAACCTCGAACGCACAAACATTAAATTTCATGTTGCATTGCAACTCGAAACCCATTTTGCTTTCAAGCTTAAAGATCTCCGCTTCCTGATACAATGACGTATCTCCAATCTGGTATGGTAAACGTGTTGTTGCCTTATCATTGCCGATTTGAATATTCTGTATAGACAGATAATAAATATATATTTTCATATTTTTTAAACAAAGATAAATTAACTCACGTTAGCGAATGTATCAATGCGGATAACGGTGTCATGTACGACCACTAACAACTCATTGGTTTTTACTTTTTTGTTGTTTTTATATGAAACAGCAATGGAGAAGTTTCTATCCAAGAAGTCAGACGCTAAAAGGTACGTGCAATCCCCATCGAAGTTGTAAACTTGTCGATCGAATGTTACGTAATATTGAGAACCGACCAACATGGCTTGAGCTAAAAATGATTGAGTTCATGAGATCCGTTGATTGCACAAATGTTGATACAATTTAAATTACCTTTGAAGGGTGGTAACCAATCTGAAGGATCGATGAATGGTTTGTAATCATGATAGAAATTAGAGAATGTCATCTTGGAAGTTGTGAAGTAACCTTGCAAGTCTGCGAAGGTCTTATACTCGGGTATTTCTTCAAAGTTCGGTGTTTCGTTGAAAGCATGCCACGACATTGGTAACTTTTGCTCCAAGTGCATAATTCCTTCCGCCGGTTCGAAAATAAATTTCGTCTTTGCTTCGCGGTATCTAATTGAAAAAAATGTTAAAATTAATGATTGAATCGCATTTTTAATTTGCAATTAGATGTACTAACTTATTCTCCGCTTGCAAGGCGGTCTGCTTCATGTCGGTCACTTTTAGGTGGATTAGAGTTATGAGTCGATGAACTTTGCCTTCTATATCAAAATAATCGTAAAACCATGTGACGCGTTCTTCAATTTTATTGTATCGATCCAGAACATAACGAATAGATGGCATGTTCTTCAATTCTGAGACTTCGTTGGTGATTTCATCAATAATATCCTGCAATTCCTGGCCAAACGGTACGAGTTTAAAATATTTTTCTTTGACGAACTTCCAAGCGACCTTTGTGTACTTGTAAGTTGCACCAATTGTATCGTTGCCCGTCATTTCCTTATAGAAGATGCCCATGTCATGGGTCAAGTTCGAAATCATACCGTAGTAAGGGTTCTCGATTATCTCGCTTTTACGAATATAAATAAAGTCTGTAACAATCGATTAAGATTTGTCAGTTGTTTGTTTTTAAATCAAAAAAGCTGAAATAACTCACCTAAAAATTCTTTACTTGCGTTCCAAGCAATTGTCTCTAAATAATGGATCATCTTGATAAACGTTGGTTCGATAGCAACCAACGTTTTGTGCCAATTGTCTAGAATCATTTTGTGCGTTTGTTTCCACAATTGCTCCATGTAGCGTATGAACGCAACATGCATGTCTTTAATAAACGTATCGTACTTTTCAACTAATTCTTTTAGAGCTTCAGAGAAGTGTCCGAGCGAGTCTCCTTGGAAAATTCCATTGACAAATTCTGCTGCATTCTTGTAATAACCCTTAATCTATAAAGACATTAATATTAAAATTAACTATTTCCTTATCAATAATCGATAAATACCTTTTCTATGACCCACACGATTCCTTTCTGTATTTTCTTTCCAGATTCACCCATAACATCCCAAATTTCATTCACTATAGCCGGCAACGACTCGATATGTGACCTAATCGATAGTTCATCGATCACGTATGTCATAAAATTCGTAATATCCTTAATGTAAAATTCGTTCGCGTTATACGAATTATTCAAAAATACTTTCAACTCTTCCAAATCTTCTTCGATAACTACCAAATCCCTATGAACATAAAACAAATACACAATATGAATAAACATAATTATTGAATAATAAGTATATACATACTTAACATCATTTAAGAAATATTGGATGTGCGGTTTACAGTCCTCCCAAATACCGCTGATGGCAAGTCCCGTTTCCGATCGAATGTATTGTCTCCAATACTCACTTCTCTCCATTGTGTAATTATACATTCCAACACTGACTTCACGAATTCCATCCTGAATAGTGATAACAATTAGAAAGTCTATTAAACCACTTTTTTTTAAAATTTACCTTTAAGTCTTGTTTCAGTTCCGGACGCCATTGCAAACTGGACACCAGTAATCTCGAGTGATTCATTAACAAAAAGTAAGAGACATCAGATATGCGTATATCTTCGAAATTTCGCCATATATCGAAGTAGGCGCTTCGCGCATCTGGAATGTATCCGTGCATGTGAAGACTCTGACTGGCATCTGTAAATCGAATAGTTTTTAAACAAATTGCAACAGAGTATTTTATATAAATATTATTTTACCTGCGGTTTTATTAACTTCAAATAGAAGTAACTTTTCTTTTATATTAAGATAGAATGAACCAGCAGCATCAATATCTTCACCGTGAATGGCCGACATATTCGCAGTGTAAAGAGGGAATTTTCCTGCATATTTAGCCCATAAATAAGACAATTCGTGTAGTGTTTTCCTCTAAAAATATATATAAAATATTTTTTATTATTACAATTACTTTAAAAAAGGTTTTGTTGTTATTGCTAGAATCACCTTAAGTTCCAATTCGTGTTGGTCTAAATCTAATCTGACACTGCCTTCACCTGACTGAACTGGCAAGTAAGTACGTTTGTAGTCGACTAAATTTCTTGAGTAGTACCAGCGAGGGCGATGAAAGATTCCTCCTTGCACGTTTAGATTCAAATTGGTCGCTCTATGATCTGTCCACAAGCGATAAGTGTAATTCCAGGGCATGCTTTGGTTAGCATTGTTTGCAACGTATGCCGAGAGCTTCACCATCTTTTCTGGATCTAGCGAATAGTCAATCGACATTTTCACATCGGCCAAAACGCGATCCGTTTTCGCATATTCACCAAATATAGTAATATTCTATAAAAGTAATAAATAGTTAATCACTCTTGCTTCTCTTTAATTTTCGTTTCTTACCTTTTCGAATGAAGGGTGTTTAAGTCCAAGGAGAACGGTTTGACGATTCGGATGAATGGTGTCCCGCGTCCAGTCAAAACCTGCTTGAACTGTTTTAACTTCTTTATCCCAAGCTAAAGCCATTTCTGAAGACAGAGCGTTTTCGCTGAGGTTGTACGATCCTACGGCCGTGAAGTTTCGTCGCGGATACGACAGGTTCATCTGTATTTCTTGAGCTTCTGAAGACGCATCCTATATGATATAAATGTTTCATTTAATACTAAACATTGCATTTTTATAAAATATTCTTTTAAATCCAAAGTAATTAATATTTAAAATCAATTATCATCTGTGATATTCTAATAAAACTAGTTATTAGTCTTACATTAGTTTTGTTCAATATGTCCAGTTCGTATGCTATCCATGCAGTAGGTCCAAGCTCCATACGGGAATTTTGTTTAAATTTTTGTTCAAGGATATCATAGTTTGTAATCAATTTTACAGTACGATTAGAATGTATAGCGATGACTGTTATCTCCTGTCCAGAACTTCTGGTGTGTATATGCAAATCACCAGTAACGTCAAGTGCACTCCTGTTATTCAGTTGATATACGTTTATATGCTTCTCATCCTGTAACATAAATGTAATTTAAAAAAAACTAATAATTTTAAAGTTAAAATGGTTGTGCATACCATAGTCGGCATGTTTGTTCCGTCTCCCGGTGAATTGTATTCGAAGGAATGGATGTAGTCGGCACCGACAGGTAACCATTTATTTTGCACTTCTACATGGACAGTATCCTTATCAAAGCCGGCTTTAGATTTTGACAAACAATTGTAGATTGCCTCAAATATTGGATCCTTGTTGTAGACTGCCGTCGCTTGACCAGTACTATTCAGTGGCTTTTTCTACAGTAACAATCATATAAATAAATTCCATTGTATGTTTATATTATTACACTCACATTGTACTCATAATCTACTTTAGCTATATGTCGTGTAGCAAGTGGAACCTCCAAGAGCAACAATCCTTCTGTTCGATAGCTTAAAGCGGAACCATCAACTTCTGTGGTAATGCATTTAGAATCGAGGAGTGCATTATTAGTGGGCCAGAATACATTAACATAACGATTGTATGTGGACCTTTGGACCGAAAAAGAAATAATAGCCACTACCTCTTGCAATAAATAATTATACTTACGGGTTGGTTTCCGTATTAAAGTTTACTCCGGTATAGTTTAAACCTTCAATAGGCGTAGATACATTTACAAATCCATTCATGTTAGCGAACTCCTTGAAATTTAAATTACCATTTGCTACCGATGTATTTCCAGGATAAAATAACTCGCCACTAAAAATATACCAATAAATCAATAATTCTATTAAATATGCAATCACTTACGTAACGTTGTGATAATTCATCAATTTGATATAGGTAGCTTTCATAATTAAAGCTTCTTGTTGAAATTTAGGAGTTCTTAATTTGTAAATGAGGTGGACCATATCATCTTTTTCTCGGATATCTACGTAATTATGAACGTTTTTATCATAATATTCCATCAATACATCAGCATTCATATTCTTTTCATTTTGATATCTCAGCTAAATGCAAAAATTATAGATATATTTATATAGTAACAATGTGGAACTAATCCTTACGTGGCCCGAGGATCCGAAGTTTTTGGCAGACTTCAAGGTATTATATTTAGCAAGATACTCAATATCGGACAAATCTTTGGAACGGTAGAATTTTCCAGTCACAGTATGCAATTCTGAACTTGGCTTTGGCAACTGCATGTTTGCTATTAAGTCTACTTTATTCGGTCCCGGACGACCGAACGTCAAATTTCCTGCCATTCTAAAGCATTTACATTTAGATCAGATTTAGAATAAGTTCGTAATTACATTGTATACTTACATCCATATATTATTAATGTCTACGTTGCCGCCAACTCGGACAGAACTAAAGGTTTTATTTGGATTCACATAGAAAGCATTTATTGCTGCAGTTCTTTCTTCTTTGGCTCTTTTGTAATTGCCCATCAATTTCACGTTCATATTTTCGAATAGCAGCCAAGTCCACCTAGTACATAATCTGGCATTGGTATCTCCTAAAACGTAGAAACCACGCGCCTCTCTCTCTTCTGGTAATTGTCTGGAAATTTTAATATTCATTTAGTTAATGATTTGGTATTAAGAAATTTGTGTTACTTACGCAAAGGAAATTCCCATTTGAATATTTTCTAAACGTTCGAATGGCGTTTTGGCATCAATTGCAATACTCTTGTTAGACACGCTCGAAGCAGCTTTAGAGTTAATTATAAATGTCTTATATCTTTGATGCGATGTCTCTATCTATAAATATAAAAATGCATTAGTTACTATATTATATAATTCATTCATCAATATTACTTCTAAGTGCATGTCCCAGTCATATTCTCGTCGCACAGTCGCTTTTCCTTTGAAGGTCATGAAATTGCTAGCTTGTTTTAAAGACGATGTCATGATGTAGCTTTCTGTACCAGAAACCAGTTTATAGTCAAGGGTGAGAGGCGAACCTCCATTGTGTGGTGTCATTTTCAATTGTAAGCTACTTGGTAGTTCGTTTTCAATGCCCAAAAGTGCAGTAATATTATGCTTTTTGTCGTCGATAGCCATCACTCCTGTAAGCTCCCGATTGCCTTTTCCAACATCTCTAGTTGTCCCATTGAGTGTCATTACGTGTCTGTAACGTAAATAATAATAATAAGATTAAAATAAAAATATTATTTTTTAAATTTAATCGCAAAACTATAAAATTTATAAAACTAACCTGCTTCCACTAAAATCAACAAACATGATTGAGCGCAGATCGTTATCGCGAATAGTTGCATTTGCTTTTAAATCAATTGGGAAGAGTACAAGTTTGGCTCGAGCTAATACGTTTCTACTGTCTTTCGCATGTAACTCGATTGCTGCTTCAGTCTTCTCTAAACCTTTGAACGGTGTTTCCATGTTAACATAAACTCGAAGATCCGTTTTTGTCTTGTAATTCCATACCGCAACCAAATTAAACTACAAATAACATAAAAACATAACAATTGAAGAAATTATTTAGTTAGTTAGTTAAACTTACTTTGTTTGTCCTATTGGTCACCATCAGATATTGACATTCAATACGATTTTCATCACTCGAGTTGTATTTTTTCAAAAACAATTTCGACGCTGGGAATAACAGAACCGGAGTTATCGCGTGACTTGTAATTTCCATTTCCACCGAACCGTCATCCAACTAAAATTTTAAAAAAATATTTAAAATAGTAATGTTATAAAAAAGTAATATATATTATTTATTTGTATAGTAGAAACTCGGTTCTCGAAAGTCTGTTTCTGGACAAAATTTTGTTTTCCCAATAGACAAATAAAGGTTTTAATAAATAACTATTTAAACGTTACCTCCAAGTCTCCGACAAAGGCAATGTCACTGCTATTTGTAACCATGGAAAAGTTAGTATGGTAGGTATTATCGTCTAAGGCTAGAGCTCCATTTATATCCAACAAAGGGAGAGTTTTGAATGGTGTGTGCACATGGAAAGTTATATTATAAACGGTATCATCTTCTTGATCGGCTGGTCTAATGTAATGCGCAAGAGTACCCATCTATTATAATGGAAACAGACAATATATTAATTTAAAATAGCAAATTTGTTTATATTTAAGGAATTGCCTACCTTTATCCATCGCGTACCATTCAGATAATCTAGATCAAGGGAAACTAGGTACTCCCTATCCATGGATATCTTTAACTCGTAATTAGATGTTATTTCCTTGAACCATGGGTAAGGCGTGACCAGGTTGAATTTGTTTCTCATATTAAGAAGATCCTTTTAAACAAATAATCAAAATTAACAATAAATTATATCTAACTTTCAATAAATAATATAATCATACAATATAATCGAATTCATCCCTGAACTCGGCTTTTCCAGCGGGTAATTTTAAAGTAGCCCCGACGTCGTACACAGTGCCCTTTTGATCGATGTCGATTTCAGCAGTCATAGTCGGATATATTAATGTATTCAATTCAATGTATCCGCTCCAGTTAATTGGATCTTCTTCATGTTCACCATCATCGACTTTGTCTGTTTTTTGCTTAACTAGAAATCCGGAAAACACATTCAGTTTCTTTTTATATATCGCTTGAGTTTTTATTCCTAATTCCTTCAGTATTTTCGGTTTCGGTTTTCCAAGAATAATCATTCCCAACTGAAATTTAATAAATGATTTAAATTGTTTCAAAACATATAGAAGAGCAGAAACATACCTTATTTTGAGCAAACTTAGTTGAAAGTTCCATGTCTAGACCTTCCTTATATATAAGTTTAGCAACGATGCCGTTTTCTTTGAAACCATCGATTGGAGTGAAAATTTTGTAAGCGTATTCGAAATTCATGATATCAGTATAGTGCCAAACACCTGAAAATCCAGCAACCAAAGAATTCCATCCAATTCGGAAGTCAGCCTGAAAACATATAATATAAATATCAGAAATATGAGTAAATTTTATTTTAAAATTACCATTTCCGGTTTTAATTTAGCTACGATTAAGACTTCCTGTAGAAATTCAATGGGCGTTGCTAAATTAAATTTCATATCAAGATCGGAAAAGGAAACCACTTGGAAACGAATCTCCACGCCGGTCTTTCCCGATGGATAATCGACCATCGCGACCAAATACCTATTCTCTTCAGATAAACCAATGCGACCATGTATGTTCTTGAATTTATCAATGGGTGTAGTAATATTAAACACGAGCATGTTTTTGGTTAGCCGTTGGAAATTACCTGAAAATTGTTAAATGATTAGCAAAATGTTGATAATCTTTCAATGTGTGTATAGTTCCTACCGTCCACGCTCACTGTAAACTCTCTGTGATCCAAATCTAAATTGGCTACGCCTCGTAACGTTCTTGAATTCGTGACTAACAACTTGCTTACGAGGAGTCCTTTATTGAATCCTTTGAACGGACTCACAAGTGTGACGACACCTGTTAGATTTTTCATATGCGAGTCTTGCAAAATTTCCCAAGAACTGGTGAGCGCTATCTTTTCTTTCGGTTGATACTGCAGAAAAAAGAAAAGCAAATACTCTTATTATAGAAAAGAAAGAAACTTTTCATTGCCTATACACTCACCATCAAGTATAGTTCTGAATCCACTTTCGTAGTGTTTTGACTGTGTTTCACGCTTGCACTAAGCGAAGATATATCCCGGACGGTACTATCAAGGGAGCCTGTAAATTCACACCGGAGTACCGAATCCTTAGCAAAATAATCGGCAAAAAGATCGATGGAAATATGCTGGTTCTGCTGCCAATGCATGCTTCCGTTCAACCGATAACTATTTTCGCTATGTAAATACCTACAGAAAACGAAAATATTAATCGCATTTTATAAATTATAGATTGTAAATATGCAACTCACCCTCCGCTTAGAGAAGTCCTTTTCCAGTCATCGAAGGGCGTCAGAAGTTCAGTCTGAACCATTATCATAGTCTCTGCACCATTTTTATAGTTGACTTCGAAACTTACAGAGAATGCATCGTCTGGAGTCCAAGCCACTTGCGCCAAAGTTAAAAAGTGATTCTCATTTATGACGAAAAGATATTGACCCCTTATATTTCGCCCTGGATACGAAATGTAAAAGTTAGCTTCGTAGTTGTACGGTTTTAAATACGCGTAATAAACTGTGACAGCAAGCTTCTGGTTCGGATCACGATTAGCATCCCACTTCAATTCTAAACCGGCCTCTTTGCGAGCCTCCTTGTTATCAATCCACATCGATAGGTATATATCTCGAATCCTGTTCATAGTTATAACATTAATATTATTTCAATATTAAAACATACCATTTTAACTTACTGATCAATGTGTACTTCCAGTCTTATTTGTCGTTTCTCTTTCAAAGATACTGAACTGGTAATTGAGTAAAGTTTTGATTTATACATTACTCTTCCAATTGAAAATATTTCGTTCTTTGAGTTCTGAACGTGTTTCCAATATAAAGCGTATTGTTCATCTTGCTGATCAGCCTAAAAAAATAAGAGAGTAGGTGTGAACATTATTCCAATGAGACTATTTTAACTTTCAAACCTTTATATCTATCATAATTTCGGTATTATTTCGGTAAAAATGACAAATTGCATTTATGTCCTTGAAGCTTGGCGATCGAACGACCAACTTCAGATGATGATTGGCTGCTAATGGAGTGCTTCTATCTTGGTATAATCCTGTAGATGACATACTGTGTCCGCTGAACCAAGTACAACTTAGGTCAATCTACAATTAATATACATAAAATATGAGAATTTGGTTCATATGTTGATACTTGATTATTTACCGCATAATCTCCAGAATTTTTTTCCTTTAATTTTCCTTCCAGGACCATCGGTACGAAACCAGGTATTGTGACATTCAACCGACCATCAATTGTCTCTAAGGTTTGCCGCGGATGATGCCAATAAACGGTAATTACGATGTCTTTGCCCTTGTTGTACCGAACGAGTGCCATCGCATTTGTACTGTATCCAATCACATCATAAGATAGTTGTCCCTTAACATCAAGCTCGGTAGAAAGTCTGCTTACAGCGCCGGATACCTTAAATCGAGTTCCATTTGTTAGAGTCCTGTATGATAAGAACATCTGCACAGTGAGCATTTCAGGATCATCGTTCAAGTTTGATAGCAAATGTGGACTGGAGTTTATTATAAATTTGGATTCGATGTGACCGCCGGACCTCTGCAGGCTGAACGTGGAGTTGAAGTTGTAGTTTGGATATGCGGAAGCTGTGACCTTTGCATCTCCGTGTAAAACGAATATGTTCTTTGTCGAACGATTGGATAGCGAGAAATCGGTGAGGACAATGTGTTCCTTGGTATTTTGAAATTTGTAGGTGAACTTTAACGTGCTGCTGACAGACGCGTCATCTCTAGAGATGTATCCATAGAGTTTAGAATTCAATCTTTTTGTTTTAAATTTCAGATCCACGTCGTACTGTGAAATTCCTGACTTTGTGATTTGTTTGACTGTACCTGGTGAATAGAATAATTATTAAATTATACTGTTTGATTACAAGTTTATTGACAAACCTTCGAGGTCTGCAATCCGATCGTCTTTAATTGCCAAGTAACACCTGGGGTGGAACATGAATCCATTTCGAATTTCTTGCTTTTCCAGAGATACTAGCATATCGAAATTGGTCTCCTCGTTAATATCTAATGCGAATTGCAAGTACTTCTCCATCTCCGTGTTCTTGTATCTACCTCGTGCTAAAGCTGTGCCTTCCGTAGACTGAAATTGGACTGTCAAATTGCGACTTACACTGTCGATGGTTAGATTGGCAGAGAGCACACGTCGCGCACTTGAGCCTGGAGTATCGAATGTAATGCTGGCATAGCTTCCGGTGGACTTCTCTACCCATTTGTATTCTAGCAAGTAAGTGGTCGCAGTTGGATCAGTCTTTTGCAAAGACAACCTGAAGCCGGCCGGCCCAGCCAATATAAAGTACGAGGCGTTATTTACTTGTGTCACGTTAGAGAAATGATAGTCGACGCACATCTGTAAACCCACGGTTTTCTCTACTGCTGGCCAAGAGCAAGCGGACTCTGTCACATACGCTTCTTTTTGTCCTTCCTGCTGTATCTCTTCGCTACCTTTCATTACATATAATTCAGATCTATAAGCAGAAAATCAAAATTGTAAGAAAACCTGAAATGGTTTGAACATAAATTGTACTCACTTTGCAGCAAAAATATCTATGTTTCTTTTGGGAATGCCGAATTTAATGCTCACTAGCTTGGCACCTTTAATTTTGACGTGCCCTTCGACTGCACTAGATGTGTACATGCTTGTTTTCAATTTGATTCCCGTCGTAGCATAATACGCGTCCAACGACATGCTGCCCACGATATCCACAACGATGCTGGGCTTCACGTTACCTACAAGTTCCAATTCTTTCGTCTTTATAAAATTGTTAGCTTTCAGCGATCCTCTCAGCTGCATGCTAATCGATGTCGTTCCAATAGCGTTCAAAGTTACTGGTAACCCAGCTCCACTGGATACGACATAACTGCTGTCCAGGAACATTGCGGAATTGCTATAATTAATTTCCTGCAATTACGTGATTTAATAAGATGAATGCAATTAATATTAATGCACATACTTTTCCGGAAAGAATTCGTTTCAAATGATCAGCAGGGTTGAGGTCGGCGAGTGCCTGCTTTATCTCTTCGTCACCATTGAAAGTCGCGTACTTGATCTCGTTTCCGAATAATTTCATGCCTAGGGATACCTTCGGTTCATCATGATTTTTCTGATTTGCGGTCTGCACTGTATCAATTTCAGATTTTAATTGCTCGTCGTCCGAAATGTCTCGAGCCCATCTCATATTTGGAATTGGAATGGGCAGATGATCTCTGAATTTTTTAGTGCTTAACGGTCCTTTTGCTCCAAAAACCGATTCCAAATAGTGCTCGAATCCTTCCATTCTACCGTATACCTAAGACAAATCAACCAGTTAAACACTTTATTGAAATATTATTTGGTATTGCTATATAATAATAAATAATAAAAGTTGGATTAGTTTATTAGTTGGATTAGTTTAATAATAATTATTAAACATGTGTAAATTTTCAAAATAGTATTTTTAGTACTTCCTTTGTATTAACAAATAAAATAATTCATGACATATTAATTCAGTGAAATCAGTAATATACGAAAATATAAAATATAACTGAATTGCTGCAAAGAGTCAATGAACACTATTGTTATACAATAATCAAATATTTGAGAAAATAATATTTAATTATATTATTTTTTAAATATCTTCACTACTATCAAAAGTTAGTTTATGTTAGTATTTGTACTAAATATTAATAGATTATTTGATTCAAGCTTCTATGAAACCGGACACTGACTTTAAAAATGGTAACAACTTACCTCAAACATATTAACTGATTCCCCAAACAAGTCCACAGTCAAATTGAGCATTGCAGATTTCGGCACATAAGATGATGGAGAGAATATGACGTTGCTTTCATAATTTGCACCTAAAGAAAACATATTGGATAAATCATAATATATATTAAGTATCGATTGTATAACATACCAACGTTGTAGTCTTCGAAGAAAACGGACCCTTCGAAATTATGCGAAAATTTACGCATGTCACTGCTGAACTTTTTGCTCAAGTCGTCATCGGAAAGCATGCCCTGGATCTCAACTCGACTCGGAATCGATGATTTCAACAAATTATGTAAATGTGACCAAACAAATGATCCAACTGAAACAAATGTCCGCATATTATAATGATAGTGAAAATTTTCAATAATCTTATACCTTGGTTTACTTCTTCATGTTCCAAAGTATGTTTAATTGTTCTCATGACCAAATAAGTAGGACACCGCATTACTTGCAAATACGATGCGATTCTCACTTCGACATCTTCAACTTCGTTGCGAAATATTTGCTCAAAGTACGAGCGAGATGACTCGCAATCAAAGCGCCTATGTGCATCGATGGCTGCAACCCTTATAGAGATCTGCAAGGTGTCATCTTCAATCATATCCCTAAGTTTCTCATTGAACTGTTCGCTGGTTACGCCGATGTTGGCGATTGCCTTGAGCGTTACAAGTATCTGTAATCATCAATTCAATTAGAATTGTAATCATTTATTCTGGTTAATTTTTGATATACCGTTTCCTCCGTTACGCGATCCGACCGACGATCGTTGTAAATTTCCGTGATACGTTCTTCGAATTTCTGTATAATCGAATCGACATTTTCGTCGTTACGGCAATTCTCGTTCTGTTTGCAGTAGGTGTAAGTAATTGCCGCAATTCCCAGCACGGTAGATGGATCATCTCTGCTCTGCAGCAATTCGGAAACGGAATTCATCATGGAGGCGTCCGGTCTTGGTATAAGCGCTATATGCACAATCCACTCACGAACGGTTTCTTCCGGCAAGCCTCCCTTCAAAATCACATCCGTCATGAGTGAAACTGCGGCATTGCTACCTAGGTAAGGCAGTGCTTCTAGAAGATGTTTCCTAAGAAATAAATAAATATGATTTCAAGTCTATTCACATCATAACTTACAGTTTACTTACTTTCCCGTGGGACATAGTGTAGCTGAATGACCGTAGAGAGCCGAAATGGCGGGATATGATAAAATCCTCGAAGTATGAATAAACTTTGTGAATAAATCCGAAAATACCATATCCACATCTTCCGTGCTCAGCTGACACAATTTTTTGATCAGATCTCTTGATGTCTTCAATTCCTTTGATGTCGGCTTTGGGGTAGGAACGTGATCATAAATCAGTGAAAACCTGCTCTCGATATCTGGCTGATCATCTACCGTCTCTGGTTCCTCGCTAAGCAATAGCAATCTTTGTCTCAGAATTGTGGTTGCACCAGAAGCTTTATTAGCGAATGGTTCGAATACGTGAGTTTCCTCGCAGTTTATCTCATTGTAAATGTGATGATCAATTGATAATTCACATCGACTACGCGAACGAAGTAAACTGCCTTGTTCTTGGTTATTCTGTAAATAATTTATTATTATTTATTTGAAAGTCTATATTATTTGTATATAGTGATTAAACTAATTTATTATTAATAAATATTACTGTAATCATATTTACCACTTTAAAATTGTAAGGGGTCGACTGCACCATTGAATGAAATTTGGACCTTCCAATGCACGTATTAAGGTTCTTCGTTTTCTCTACAATTAAGCTAGTCTCATTTGTGCCCAGGATCTTGTAAGAAGTCTGACATTTTCCTCGAATATCTTCCTCGTCAGTTTCGTAATCCAAGTCAAAGCGTCTCATGGTGTTGTGCATCATGGAGAGAAGACCCTTCTTAAAATTCATCACCCATTGTTTCTCTTCGTCATATGAGCAGACTTCTGAGATCATTCCGTCTTGGAATTCGAAACGCAGTGGAAATTCGGACAAGCTTTCAGAAAACATATTGCTGTTTTCGTGCAAACCGGATTCCATTTCTTCATCCTCGAATTCGTATTCATTCTCATTTTGCTCGACTCTTGGTGCATCGACGATGGCCTCGTCTCTCAACCTGACATCTGACACCTTGAGAAGGCCATCACACTTTGTTAGAAACTCTAATTGAACGGTGGCTTCGATGTACAATTTTGACTCGTTTTTGCTAGTTCCTTGGAAAAGAGTGTTTGCCTGCACGAAATATTTGTACTTGTGTTGAGTTCCAACCATGTAACGAAACTTTTCGCTTGCATCTTTTTCTTCTAAAAATTAAAGTAAAAAAATAGTTGGTATCTAGAATTAATTTGTTGAACACTTACCATCGCATGTTGGATTACCGCATTTTGAAGGATCTCTTAGTGGATCTGAAATTAAGCATTACAATAAAAATCTAGAATTTTTCCTATATTTCTGTACAAATTGTATTTATGTTGTACTATTTTTTTTACATAGTCAAAACAGAAAAAAGATATACATTTACAGAAGAAATTATAAAATAGTAGATGTAACTGAAATGACCAGATTTTGATTTTGTACTGAATTACACAAAATTGAAACATTAAGCTCATTCAAATCTCTGTAGTTTGTTCTTCTTCTTCCTTCCCAAATTTATGAAAATTCTATTAAACTCAATCTATATTCAGTAATTTATTTTTGACATATAAAAGAACAATATTTTAAGTTTTTTTATTCTTTAACTAATAATTATCTTCAGAATTCATAGTTTCAGCATCACTTACATGCTACTAAATAATAATTTGTTGCCTCTTAACATTTTATATTTCTTTTACAAGTAAAATAAATTATAAATTTGAATATATAAATATCTAATAATTTCTATATTTACATCTAATATTGAGGTCTTTAGCTCCTTGTCTAAATGTATTTACTTAATTATATAGAATTGTTTATAATATATTTTTATTTATTTATATAGTATTTTTTATATTTATTATATATTTAATTTATGTTATGGACAAAAAAAATATTATTCTTTTTTTTGCACTATTTATAAGATAATATAATATGCTCTAAAAATAGCTAGCGACAATTTAAAATTGTTGTATTAAGTTTTGAAGATGTATATTTTAACTGAATCAAAAAGTTTAATTTGTTTATGCGTGAATGATTAAGTGCATCGAAGTTTTCTTACATTAAATGCTTTTCGAACTGTGCGTCTTAGAGAAAATGTTATCTAATCAATATGTAATACGCCATGCAACAAATTGCGTAAACGGTTTATCAAATAAAAAATAAACCGGATACAGGCAGCCTGAGGCGGGAGAAAAGTTTCTCGAAAGCAAATTCACAGACTTTCAGTGAAATTCAAGAGCTGTCTTATTTTATAATAGATCTAATCTAAGTTCATCGGTTCTTGCAATTTGTACTTACTGTATTTCGCTGAAATTGCAGACACGATTAGTGCGCTACAAAGATAGGTGATCCAGATCTTCATCCTGAAAACTCTCCTGGTGCTTCAGGAGTGCTTTAAATTATCCACGCAACTGCCCGATTATCATTCACCTTCGATCACTAAATTTTAACAGACGAAACCTTCCCTTCTTCACTGATCAACCAACTAACTGATACTGTTCTGGAGTGGTCCGTTACCGATCTAACCAATGCAAAGGTCACATACTTTATGGCCTGCAACGGCTTAGAAAGAAAGAGATTACCGAGCTCACGGGGTCGAAGGTTGACACGTCACTGTTCCTCCTTCAATTTTATTTTTTCTGTGTTTACGCCAAACAACTCAATTGGTTAATGGACTGCAGTAAAGAAGGATAAACACTGTTGAAAAACAACAACACTAATAAAACCCTTGAAATCTGATTTTAAGCACCGGGTTATCCTCACTCTTAACATCGATAACAGGTGATTAGCTAAAATGTTATGGCTTCAACTGGTATCATCTTATTTCTATTAGTATGAAAAAGGATGAAAACTGTTGTTGTTCATAATGGAACAAATTCTGAAGCCTTCAGTACAGAGTGATGGTCCCGGATGCGCGTTAATTGTGCTCATAAATTGTTTCATTAAGTCTGTGGCACCGACAAAATATCCGCAATTCGCGTCACTCTGTATATCTCACTCGAATGCTATTAATAAACAACTTAGATTAATATAAATATTTCTCATTAAATATAAATAACTATAAAACTCGTTAATAATAGTTTGTTCAACTAATTGACAAAATAATTTCTTTGATTATTTTTAATTATTGCATAAATACCCGCTCGACGAGTAAATTAAATAAATAACAGGAGTTATAACATGTTTTCTGTTTTCATACGATCGTAAGAATGCACATAAGTTTCAATTGCAATATCTTCTTCCTTGTACTTATAACAAGAATTCTGCTGCACAATTTATGCTACTTTAAGCATTCAATATTAAAGATGATTGAAAAACTTATTTTAGATCTTTGGAAAGCGTAAATTTATATTTTTTTTTATAATTGTATAATATATCAGAAACTATTTTTCTAAATACTATGTCGAACTAAAAAATATATAATTTGATAGCATTAATATCTTTATAAAGTAAGCGTTGAGAAGTGTCGAGATTCAACCGTGAAGGAAGGCTGTTGTGGGCTTCGGGAGAGTCCGTGAAGAGAGATGATGATGTGCCATGAATAGAGGAAAGAAGAAATGTTTTTGCTATTGAGGAGAGCAGAACAAAGAAACAGAGTGAATTCTTACTTTCATTAAAAGAAAATGGTGCCCATAACCATCAAGGACCTCACGCCCAAACCGACGGTTTTGAATTTGAGAAAAACGACTACGGTCTTATAAATCATCAAACCTTTTCAGCATGCGTTCGTCGGTTTATTTTCCTTGTTGCAGTCTAGGGTTGGCAATAAATGCCATAATCCAAAGAATCTTATTTGTTATTTATTAGAGGAGAAATGTGTTTTGATACAAATATCACGTAATTTTGGCATATAATATAATAAATTTTACGATGCACGTAATAATAATATAAAACGATTTAAACCGTTAATTTTGGAGAGAAAATAAATATGTCCGTTTCAAAAACATTTTTGTATAGAGCTATAATTATATTTAGTGCTAAAAGCCAATTATTATCAAAAGGGAATTTATATTATCATTTCTGTTTGAATTTTTTTATTTTTTTTTGAAAAGAAATGGGAAGAACAATTTTCCTAATTTTTTTTTTCCTAAAATACAGCAATTATTTTTATTACCTCAATTATACTGGCAATTTGAATGCAGAGAAATAAATAATATTGTTGTGTCCAACCATTATTATTATAATTGTTATTATTAATATAGTGTATTAACGAACTAGAGACATCCAAGGCGTCTCTTAGTCGCATTATTATATAAACACAAACAAATAGAAATTTGGAATTAACTGATTCAACCACTGACTAAGAAGATGTTATTAATTTTCGATTATATTATGAATATAATGACTAGAAATGTTAAAAGAAATAGAGGCGAAAAATATTATACAAAAACCGGAAATATTATTCCTGCAAAGAAATTATGTATTATTTATTTTTTTAAATAGGGGAATTTAAAAAACAAAATATATTCTTGTGTGCCTACTCATCGAAAGTAAAAAGAAGACGACGTAGAAATTTTAAATGATCAGCCAGATATTATATTTATACATACTTGATAAAATTGAAAAAGGAAAGCCTTGTAGTATGTTAAAACTTCGTTATAGGAACATTTGAAATATCTATAGAAAGACTACTCAAATCGAAGGTATTAGAAAATGACTTACATGGAAAAATGAAAGGATCTTGCAGTGGATGCCTTAAAAGATCACATACTATGAATGTCATTACGCGCGTTATCATAATCCAGACAGAAAATACTTGAGTTCTGAATTGAACATAAGAAAAATGTACAACTTGTATGTTGAAAAGTGTGAAGTGATCAATACAACATTTCTCAGCGAGCCCAAAGATCCCAAAAATGTGATTTGTTTAAAGCTACATCCGACTTTGATGAAAAAAGCAGCCTAATGGAAGAACATAGCATCCATTTAAGTAATGCAGAACTGGTTAGAAAATTTTTAAAAGAAGATCAAAACTTAGCATTAAAGTACTCAGATGAATATTTCGCTTTTTCGTTTGATCCTTCCATATCCCAAATTATCAGTTTCTGTTGTATATTATAAGCGAAATATGTATGTTCTTAATGAAGGTTTTCATAATTTTCATGACAACAAAGTTCATATGTATGCGTGGGAAGAAACTGTAGCATCGCGAGGTGCGGAGGGAGTAGAATCTTGCTGCTTGAAACATATTCAGAATGTTACAACCCAATACCACATTATAGCATACCGGACAAAATCTAAATATTCAGCTCGTACTGATGTAGTTAAGAATTGTTTAATCAGCTGACAATAACATAAATATTATTGACCACAAATTTCTATTTTCGGGTTTCTTCCAAACGTCAGAGATTTTGGAGTTTTGAAAATAGTAGTAAGGAAAAAAGATCAATTATATACTTCTCAAGACTATTATAATATAATAAAGAATTGCTGAAAAAGTATAGCTTCATTTTGTATGAAATGAAACAAGAGTTTTTTTTTTGAACCAAATGTCTAGAAGAGGCAATATTAAACAGGAAAAAAAAAACGGACGGAGAAATTGTAAAATGGCTGAAAATATGCTGGATGATATTTAAAAGAGATGAACGGCACAACATTTATTACAAAATCACTGTGGAAGAAAATGCTCCATTTAAAGTAATTTTCTTATTTGAAAAACCAGGAAGACCAAACATCTCAGCAATATTATTATGTTTCCATTGTTTAAAATGCATTGTATAAAATACATACCACCTTTTTACCATTAATACTTCATTATGCTAACGGTAAAAAAGAAATAAGTTTAACATATTTTTAATTTTCAGTTATGTTAAGTAAATACTTACATTTTTCACTTGGTTATTTATATTTTCTTTTTAATATAAATTAATTCATAATAAAGTTGATTATTCATATATTTACATTTCTACATTTTATTTTTTTTATATTTAAATTTTTTATAAAAATATGGACTTAATTTCCTCTTTTTTTATTTTAAAAAATATATTATTATGGAAAGTGGTGTAAGTCCACTAGGACATGAAAAAACGTATATTTTCTTTAACAATTTTAATAATTATTATTGCAATATAAAATTTAACAGTTTTATAGTGTTAAAAACATAACACAAATTGATTAACGTTTGCCAATATTTTTAAATCGATTCAAAATCAAACTAAACTTTCAGCTTCAAGTATTCTCACCAAAATTCTTTAAAAAATTCTCGAATATTGTAGACATCACAAGGTTCCTAATTATATTAGCACCTTATGGCAATCACACCTTATGATAAAATCGATGTCACAATGTAATAATAATTATTGTATATAGTAATACTATGTTTTTTGTGAGACCAAAGTAATAGATTTGTTACACCTAGTAGAAAACAATATTTGAAAGATTTCTTACAGGTTCATATTTCTTGGATTCCTTTTTGTTCCTGGGAAATTTAAAATTTATTTCACAAAAATCATGAGAATTTCCGGGAAATTATAAAAAGTTTAATAAATTTAAACAAATAGTTTATTATAAATTTCTATTGACCGTAGCCTTTCCATCCGCATAATAATATTTATATGCATTTCTGTGTGAATGACGCTAGTTGATGATCACTTATATCTGTATCTGCAAAATGAAAAAAAGTTAACTACCAAGAAATTTAGTATTGGAATTTTAGTTGCCACAAAACAAAATAAGGCGAGTAAGCGAGAAGTAAAAAAATGACAGACACATTATATTTTAATAACTTATTTGTAAGTTATGAACATTTCACTTCATTATTTCAAATATCAATCAAAATTCTCTCGAGGACCACCGGTTGGCGACTGCTGCGTTTGAATATTGAAAAGAAATTCCACATTTGCTAATGATTGTTCTTTTTTTTCATTAAAATTTTCATTAAAATTAAAAGTATAGTCTGCTTTAAAAAAATGACAAAGATAGTAGATGGTCAATATATTAAAAAATACACATAATATGTGTACACAAGTTTTAAAAATGATGTAGGAGGTGCGAAATCCGGGACTTCTCTTCTTCTCGTCACTCGTTATTCGAAACGTCGCTCGTTAAGCGAGTCATTTTTCAACCAATTTATTTTGCTCTTTAAGCGAAATGCGAGGTGCTCGTTAAGCAAGGTTCCACTGTATTTTTAGATTCATCCTACACATTTCGTTTTAATATGGGATAACATCCCATATGAATGTGCCCCAGAACAAATGAGCAATAAACATTAACTCATTTTTTCAGAAGTGGACTTATACCACCTTTATATTAATATAATATAAAAATAATAGATTATAAATGGGAGATAGAAAATAAATTCATAACAATGTAAAAATATTTCATAGAATTTAAACAAATCTAAGAATACTTAAAATATCAAACTGAGACACTGGAAACAATAAAATATCAATGACTCGAATATTAATAACATTTTTCGAAGTTTCAAAATGTACACTTGTACAATTGATAAACATTTCACATTCTTATTGAAAAAACTACTATAAGTGATGCACTGCTATAAATGATTATAAAAAAGAAGTTTTATTGTTTGAGAAAAAGTGAGAGTATAAACAATGAATAAACAAAATAGTAACTCTTTATAAATAACAAATATTCCTTTGAACCATTCTTTGTCATATACATCAGCTAAAAGAAATTTCACCAAATAAAGAAGTTTCGATATAACGAAGTCCGTAATTAGAAGTCCCATTTAGCAATGTTGTGTTGTTATGTTTATTTTTTCAGCAAACATATTTCCCTGATTCAACCATCGGATCAGGAAGTAATAGCATCATTTAAAACATATTATCTACGTCTAACTACGTCGCAATAAATGGTACTTAATATTTTTTGGAAAAATTATATTATTAAAAACACAATTAAAGCATTGATAATTCTTAGAAATAAATAACTAATGATTAAATGAAGTTTGGGGCAAAATAGTTGCACAAAAAGGAGAATATAACATCAAAAAAATTAGAAATTAAGTAATTCAGATGGCTTAATCATAATATTTATTGCAACAAATTTTCAACATATAAACAAACATAATAACAAAAATAAATTCGATTAACGAGTATTTCGCTTAACGAGCAAAATGAATTGTAAGAAAAATGACTCGCTTAACGAGCGACGTTTCGCATAACGAGTAACGATGAGAAGTCGTAGATTGCGAGCCTGCTTCATCATTTTTTAAACTTGTGTACACATATTATGTGTATTTTTGAATATGTTTCACTACTCGTATAGTGACCCAATAAATTTTGGAACGGATTAAACTCATTAAGCGAGGTTCCACTGTACATTATTGCATTACAAAGATGAAATAAAAAAAGGCGGATGAGCCATTGCATCGAGTTATTATTGATCTTGAGACTGACATTTCGCCCCTTCTAAATACTTTATTCATTTTTTTTTATAAAATAACAATATGTAGCATTTAATAAATATATAAATAAATGAAATTAGAATAAATTCTGAAAATTTGTGAAGCGAACTATTTTCGCTATTGATAACATTGCTCTCACAATGCGATCGATATAATATTCGTACTTATTATAAAGATAATCTCATCCCATCTAATTTATAATGTTCTGACGATGTATATTATTGATTTTTCGTTTTATAATTTGAATAATTCGCGTTGTACTTCAGGTTGCACTGCAGGACATTGATCAAAATAATACATTGATGCCAGTTGCTGCACAGGTTCGGTTCAGGTTTACTGACGTGAGTCTATTAATGTATATACTGCATTATATTTAACTGACTTTACACAAATTTCAATATACTACATCGGTTTCAGAAATCGCAGAAATCCTATTAAAGATGGATGAAACAAATTGGAAGATGGATGATATTGCTTCCACTTCTACAGCTCCTCAAGCTGGTCAAACTTACAATAAATTTAATTATTCTAATTACAGAGCAAAACTAACTCAGATTCGCGAAATCTACCATCAAGAAGTGGACAAGTATGAAGAAATCTGCAACGAATTGACCATTTACATTTTGAGTCATCTCAAGCAACAGTTGCTGGCACGCCCTGTCACCTATCAGGAAATTGAGATAATTATTAACACCGCTAACAATAAATTTAACTCGGTGCATATGCAGCTCAACCAGGATACATGTGATTCAATTATGATCCTCAGAACTAGATCTTTGGACAACAGAAGAAAAATGCGCAACACTCTGGCATCCCAAATTTTGAACGAATATTTTTATTCTCACTACTCTGATCCATATCCTAGCGAAGATGACAAAGCTGACTTGGCTGCTAAATGCAGCATAACAGTTAATCAGATTTCTAACTGGTTCGGCAACAAACGGAATAAATCTAAAATAGAAATTAAAAATGCTCAACAAGAAGCCAAAATATTCGCAGCAAAGAAATTCGTTGAAACTACACCATCTAAAAAAAATCCATCACCGCCTATAATGTCTGCAGAATTGCCTAAACAATCAAAAAGGTGCACAAAGGCATCTGCCCGTAAAAAATCTACAAAGAAACGCAATGCATGAACAAGCACTTAAACAACTTATCCATGTGAATATCGACAGGATAAATGTCGTGAATAGAGGTCGAAATTAAATCTAAATCTTTATTATATAATACGTGTTATAGTCTTTCTAAAATTAATACGTATTAAACTCTAATATATGTTTCGTTTGGATATGTTCAGGGTATACTTAGAAAGTAAACTAATGAATTTAATAAATGCTATATGAAGAATTTTTTATATTATTTTTTAAGATAAATCTATTTTTTTGATGTTTTGTTATGTGGAACCATTATTATTGCTATTGTTAATAGAATGTATTATGTATCAGAGAAATCCACGTTTAACGGTCTTTGGTGTTTTTTTATGTAAATTTCCGAGGTATTCTAAAAACTGATTTTTTTTATTTGATTTGATTTTTATATAATAAATCTATAATATTATTTTAATTATCTACTTTTAGACATTTTACAACATACAGAAACCTCTCCTCTTTAGGTAAAGTGGATTAAATTGAAGTACGGCTATGGTATCAAAATACTTCTTTCAACGTTGAAAAAAATATCGTTTATTCAATTTAAACATTCAAAGAACACATAAAAAAGGAAAATATACATTGTTTTTGTTCAAATTAAATAAACGAAATGACTCATATGGTAATAAAAATCTATTAATAAGATCGTTATTTTTAATTACTGCGGAATTATCTAACGTTGACAATAAACAATAATGCCATAAAATCTTGTGGTGCATTCTATGCAGAATGTTAACTTCAATCCAATTACAAACCTGAATAACAATAAAAAAGCATCTTCTAGCACAACATTCACAAAAAATATGAACAAAATTGTAGAAAAAAAAAACAATATAGATTGTCAATTTTTTTATAATTAAATTTATTATTTAGAATTTACCACATTTAATGTTATAAAAATAAATTTTTCGACAATTGTAACCTAATTTATGTTACTGGTAGGAACAGTCTAAGGAACAGTGCGAGGACAACAGGTTATTTGGTTTCGGACCTGGATGTGATAGATGAAAATGAAAATATACCTTCAAATATTTGGATGAATATTTGTTGAAATTCCTTTCCTTCCGTTTTTTTCCTGGTATGCAAATATCTAGATCTGAATTATACCTTTTTCGAATGTGTACTGTTTAAGTTGCATCTGTATAGAGCTAAATTTTTAATAAATTATTTTAACCATTCTTTCAATTTCCATGCAATTTGCACAACTCAGGTTTATCTATCATAGAACTTTCCTGTTTAATACTTGATCTTACAGACGAAGCCGTTATGTTTCAACATTATTCAATTATTATTCATATTTTTAAAGTTTTATCTAAATTTAGATTTATTAGCAAATAGTATTATTATAATAAATGTTCCAAATGCAACACACATTTTTCAAATTATTTATAAAATTATATTCTTCATTTAAAAAAATTGCTTTAGACAGTAAACTTTTTACTTCATTGACAAGGAGATAAAACATAAGGTTTATTAATTTATTTTTCTGTACTAAACCTCAGAGTCTCAGTTTGAATATTGTTAAAAAAAATCTCTAGCTCTTTGTTGTATTATAATTCCCTTTTCATCACACGACGCATACTGGTGATATTGTGCTATGCATAGACTAAGTGAGAAAAGTTAACCGCCACTTTCCTCAAAGAAGAAAAACTCATTTTACAATTATAGTCCTACTTTTCAACTTCTCAAGAATACTAATTTTATATATATTTTTCTATTGAAAAGTATAATATTCTAGAGACTGTTCTAGGCTTTTCGTACTTTTTTTTCAGGACAGCGTTAAGCGCTTCCAAGAGGAAAGTTCCTTTTTAGCCAATACAAAAATATTGTCTTGAAAATAAACTGCTTTTATCCAAATTTAATTACAATTACTGTAAAAAATAATATAGATTGATGCAGTTGAGTTTCTGTAGATTTTATAGTGTTAAATTGTAAATAAAAATAATTATATTAAAAATCAATTATTTCAGAACAACAAATTGCGGAAAAGATATATTTTTTTCATTTATACCTAAACTTTAAACAATTTACACATCGAAATATCCAACATGTATATTTGGTAAAGTTTTTCATTATATTTCTACGTATTATCTGATACATCTTACATCACACTTAAAATAGTAGCTTGTAAACAGTGGATCACAAATTTTAATTTGTGAAATATTTTATAATTATATGCTAATAGTGTTGTGAAAAGTAATACATAATTTTATATCACTGAATCACTGCACTGAACAATGTAGTCTCTATGACCTGAAGTTGCATATAAACAGAATAATGAAATGCCTTTTATATTGTATTTGATTGTATTTCTTTAGACATTTGATTAGTTTTCCAATAAAATATACTTTAATAATTTAAATAATGAACAGTTTAATTATAAATTATTTAAACAGTTTATGTTAGCAGGATCAAATCGCCATTTAATGAATTTAATTTGAATTTGTTTTCTTAATTATAATGCGTTACTAGTATCGCTGCCTTAATTAGATGGACTAGATGCAATAAATACGAATGAATAGTGCAAATTTGTTATACAATGTGTATCTGAAAATACATAAAATTTGCGGTGTACTTCATGCTAATCTATGCGTGGTTGAGTCTGCGTCTACGGGTCTTTATCTTCATAACAATCCATCCCAAACAATCCATAAGTTGGAAGCGCAAGTAACATACGACGGCGTATTATCCAGATGCGTTTTAAATATTCGTAATCGTGTAATTGGAAGTGAATCTCAAAAAAATAATTAAATCTAGTGAAATTTGTTGGTGAAAATCCTACAATGGATGACCCAGGAAGGATGATGGGTCATGGAGGAGCCGGTTTGTTGCCTTCGCAACCCTACGGCATCAATCCAGGCGACGCTGCGGGTGGTGAGTCCGAGTCCCGCAAACAAGACATTGGAGAAATTCTGCAACAAATAATGAATATCACTGATCAAAGTCTTGATGAAGCCCAAGCCAGGAAGCACACCCTCAATTGTCATCGAATGAAACCAGCTTTGTTTTCAGTTCTCTGTGAGATTAAAGAAAAAACTGTTCTTTCATTGCGTAATACTCAGGAAGAAGAACCCCCAGATCCACAGTTGATGAGGTTGGACAATATGCTGATTGCTGAAGGTGTAGCAGGTCCTGAAAAAGGAGGTGGTGCTGGAGCAGCAGCTTCTGGTTCTGCTGCAGCTCAAGCTGGACAACCAGACAATGCAATTGAGCACTCAGATTACCGAGCCAAACTTGCACAAATTAGGCAAATTTATAACCAAGAGCTGGAAAAATATGAACAAGCCTGTAATGAATTCACCACACATGTTATGAACTTGCTCAGGGAACAATCTCGTACTCGTCCCATTACTCCAAAAGAAATTGAGAGAATGGTACAAATAATTCACAAGAAATTTAGCTCAATTCAAATGCAACTCAAACAGTCATCATGTGAAGCAGTTATGATTCTCAGATCTAGATTCTTAGATGCCAGAAGGAAGAGAAGAAATTTCAGTAAACAAGCATCTGAAATATTGAATGAATATTTCTATTCTCATCTGTCTAATCCATATCCAAGTGAGGAGGCTAAAGAGGAGTTGGCAAGAAAATGTGCAATCACTGTAAGTCAAATCTGCAATTGGTTTGGTAATAAGCGCATTAGGTATAAGAAGAATATTGGGAAAGCACAAGAGGAAGCCAATTTGTATGCAGCAAAGAAAGCAGCTGGAGCATCTCCCTATAGTGGAACTCCAACACCCATGATGTCACCAGCACCAAGACAAGATTCAATGGGATACTCCATGGGCTCTGCTTATGAAAGTTCTCCATATGATGCAAGCAGCTGTGGATACGATCCAATGCATCAGCAAGAATTATCCCCTTAAAAAAGAGTTTATATCTCTTGCTTCCGCTATGAACTGATTACACATGTATACTGTTTAATGTATACCATAATGTATACTAATATTATTTTATATTATGCATATAAGTTACGTTTTTATAGCTCTGTGGATTTATTATCAAAGAAACAAACATAAGCAAGTTTTTTTTTTAATAATTACATATATACATGTATTTAAATTGATTCATGCTCAAAACCAGCACTTCATTTTTATTTCTTAAGTTTTGTAAGTGTTATCATGTGAAAGGAGTGACTAGTAAAAAAAAAATAGACTAATACATTTATATTATGTATTTTCATTGCATTTTTTTTTCTTTATAGAAACTAAATAAAAATAATTGAATAATAAAAAGTCGAATTAATTTACAATACCCTTATGAATATATTATAATTTTGTATAGTTAAATTAATTTCAGATACTTTAATTACTATCAGTATTAGCAGTATAATCAATTTGCATAAACATAGAAAACCAATTTTTTTTCAAACAATTTTCAGGGGGCTAGAACAAATTTCAGATTGTAATACTGACGATATTAATTTATAACAATAAAATCCGTATGTATATGGTATAAATGTTTTTGCAATTGATATAAACAATTTAAACAAGTGTTTCATCTCTTGAAGTTATTTTCTATATTTAAGTTCTATATATACAAGTTAATTTTATCATTCTTTTTTTAAACATTGATGAAGTAAGAGGCAATATTGTTTTCATATAACTTTTCAAGATTTAGTCGCCTGTATCACGACTATTAGCAGAGTTTAAAATGATATATGATATCAGATTTGTCTATCTGGATGCGGTCCATCTACATTGTAGATGGACATTGTACAAGCACACTATCATCCTCTCCGAGACTCAACCTAGTCCAAGTGTACAGAACCGCAGAATCCCGGTTTAGAAATTGTTTAATTACCACCCTATGTTATATGTCACATTTAGTTCCTACTGAGTTGCTGATGGTTGCTGAGTGCTACTGAGCACGCGGCGGAAACACGAAATTGTGCGCGACACAAGCTAATGAGAAGGGTGGTGGAAGGAAGAAGAAGATATTAGATTCAAATAAATGTATGCTAAACAAGTTGCATAATTAGAGGAATAGTAAATATAAAATCCAATATTTTGACGGGTGGTAAAACATTCATGAAGATTCGTTTTGAAATTGACAAAAAAAAAATTGTATGAATTAAATTTTAATAAAAACATTAATACACATATAATAATAATAATAATAGATATAACAATCGAATAAATTATTATTGAAATAGTTCGCCCTTGAGCTCATGATTATAACTGATAACAGATTCCAATTGACATTCGTAAGAACACCGTGAAAATGGACATCGCAAAGCACCTAACAATTAGAAAGGCCGAAAAAACAGATATGAAATATGTTTTTGAAATGATAAAGGTGAGAAGACTTACAAAAATAATGTAAAATATTTGATAAATTAAATTTCAAGGAACTAGCTGTATTTGAAAATATGGCTGACCAAGTAAAAGTTACTGCCAAAACATTGGAAACTGATGGATTTTCTGAGAACCCAGTGTTCACTTGTTACGTAGCAGAAGTGAATAACAAAATCATAGGCTATACTCTCTATTATATATGTTATTCAACATGGATTGGAAAATCGATATTCCTAGAAGATTTATATGTAAAAGATAAATACAGAAAACAAGGAATTGGAAAGAAACTAATCTTAACCATTGCAAAACTTGCTTATGAGACAAGTAGTAGGTTAGATTTTCATGTACTATCTTGGAATCCAGCGATTGAATTTTACAAGAGTTTAGGAGCTGTTAATTTATCAGATACTGAAAATTGGCAACTATTCAGACTGAACAAAGACAGTCTTTGTAAATTGTTTAATTAATAAATATATTCTTGTTCAAAGTGGAAGCTGCTTAAGATGTATTTTCTCATGTGATACTAAATTATATCTTTCAGCAAACTTTTTCCCACAAACACTACACATGAACTTTTTTTCTCCGGTATGAACCTTAATATGACGTTTTAAGTGTGAGCTTGACATGAATGCTGCCTCACAAAACATACATTTGTAGTTCTTGTATCCAGTATGAGTGAGTTTATGAATGCCCATAGATGTATGATGCTTAAAACGTTTCCCACACATTTCACATTGGTGTGGATAATCATCTAAAACAATCTCAAAGTTAATTAACAAAATTAAAATTCATTAATAAATAATATGCACCTGTATGCAATGGCATATGTCTCATCAAAGATATTTTTTGTGTAAAAGATTTATTACAAATTTCACAAAAGTGTGCTTTTGAACCATCATGCAAATCCATATGAATCTTCCAAAATTTCTTCTGTTTAAACAGCTTGCCACATACATCACAAATGTATGTTTGTGTAGGTGCTCCATTTTTACATATTGGTTTAAACGGTACTATAATTTCTTCATGTAATCTCCCTTCAATTTCAGGTTTTATTTGAGCAAATTCAATGTCTTTATCTGCAGTTTCAAGTTTTACTTCAATATTTCCATCCGTAATATCATATTGTAAAACATTTACATCTTTACTCTTCTCACTTATATCCACTTCATGAGATTTCCACAATTCCAATATAATGGTAGTAAGTTCCCTAGATCTCTCAACAACTTTATCTAATTCATTTATAGTTTCCAAGCATAAAGTGCATATAAGATTGTTGTACAAGTGCTCCTTTATTTCATTTAAAAGATTAATTAGAAACGCCAATAAATCTTTACCAGAATGTACCGTTTTATTTGATTCATTAATACAAATGCCAGCATTTTCAGAAATGGAATTTCTGCATACAATACACGTTCCTGTCATTTTTGGGTTAGAATCTTAGATCAGAATCAGTTAGTAATAGTATAAAAAAAAACACAAACTATAATTGACTATAATTCTCAATACCAACAAAAGTGAACTAAAGACCAGGGGGATTCACTGCATTCACTGTTCACAGGAAACGGCAAAATTGTTTTTTTTTACGAGAAAACAGTTGGTATAGGCGTGTTTTATTATAAGAGAGAAGAAGTTTTTTTTATCCGAATTCGGAATTGTTTCAAATGTTTACTTTTTGATAATAAAAGTATATATATATGTATGTGTGTGTATTTTATTTGCTTGTTTATATGCTCCTTTCGTTTGTTTGTACTATATACTATGTGTTTATTTAGTGTTTTATGCCTAGCATGACATTGACTAGCTGCTACAATGAATAATTCTTTGAAAAATGGGGATAATCTAAGTATAAAGAGAAATAATAGGGTTTGTAATCTTCATTTCCTTAAAAATTACAGAAGAACTTGTTTCTTACAATACAATTTTCCAATGTCCACATAAAATTTGTTCGAAGTAGCAGAGGTTGAACAAATTGGTATTGTTCATGATAGTAACACTATAATTGTGAACTATTTTCATAATTTAGATCACTCCTATTGTAAACCAGATGAACTTCAGCCTGAAGAAATAAGAATTAATTTAGATAACTCCTATTGCGAACCATTAGCTGTTGTATCTAAAGAGATGGGTATTGTTGTTGACTATTAATAATCTTATTAATTTAGATCACTCCTATTGTAAAACAGATGAAGTTGAGTCTGAAGTTTTTCATACAGTAATTATGGAACTAATGATAGAAGGTAACTTATCTTGCCCAAATGGGAGAAGATTTACATCAGAATTGAAGGATACAGAAATATTATGCAATTATTTAAATCAATTATTTGATAGTTTAAATTTTGGCACAGTATAAATTAACCAGATTGATGCAAACTGTGTGTTGCAATGGGATCAGATCATTTGCAACTGTAGTATGAGGCCAAAGTTGTGAAATTTTTTGTAAAAACATTAGATGGCTTCATTAACCTATATTTTATTGCTTTATGAAAAATGAATTTGAAGTATATGCCAACAAAATCGTTTTATCAGGATACACTTGAAAATTTCTTTGGCCAAGTGAGGCAAATAGAAGCTCCAAGCACCAGGCCTTCATGTAATTTAATGATTTCAGGTATTATTAACTGAGAGTTACATTCTCCTCTTAAGTTAGTGTTTATGAAGTAAGTGCTCTTCCTTGGACTCTCCAAGTAAGACCAACTTCTCAGTTCGACCCCTTTGGACCCCTTAGCTAAGACTAAATTATATAATACAAAAATGTGTTCATTTTAAAAATGGGCTCCGTGGGAGAAAAGGGTTTGACCTTGTGAAAAACACAACCGTTTCTTTATCTAAGTTTTATGATCCTGTCCAAATATTTAGGGGCTGCAGAAGGCTGTTAAGTCTTGATGCAATAAACGCAACTATACGATTTAATGTGCAACCGTCGTTCTGAATATTCCACAAGTTATTCTAAATAATCACGTACAAGTATCCGTTTGTAGCGAATCAATATCATTGTACGAACACGAAATGAATTTTGAATTTGTGCTGTCAATTATCATCTGGTATGACATATTGCTGAACGTAAATACCGTTAGTAAAAGTTTACAAAACCCAAAAACCGATCTTTCGACAGCAGTTTCTCTTTTGATGGGCTTGGAAAACTTTTTGAAACAGTTTAGAAATGTTGGTTTTGCGGAATCAAAAGTCGAAGCTAAAAAATTTTGTGAAAAATATAATATTCCTTCAAAACTTTTTCTAATAGAATTAGAAAAAGAAAGCGCAAGTTATCGATTCTGAAATTAACTTTTATGGAAAATACTTTTTACAATTAGTAGGCCAAGGTATAATTTCATTTCAGGAGAGATTTAAACAGCTAGAGAAACATAATAACTTATTTGGCTTCTTATATAATATAACAATTTAGCAATGTTCTATAACATTTTCTGTGAAGGCATATGTCACCATTAGAATGCCTTAAAAATACACCAAACAGGAAATGAATTTCCCAATTTAAGCATAATCTTAAGAATTTTATTAACAATTCCGATAACCACTGCTGAGACCGAACGTAGTTTTACAAAACTTAAAATAAGAAAAAAACTATTTAAGATCCACAATGACGCAAGAAAGACTATCCTACCTAGCGTTGCTTTCAGATAAGCAATGCTAGTTGTGAGATAATAGATAAATTTGCTGAAATTAAAGCAAGGAAAATAAAGTTCAATTAATTTTGTTTCTCTTATATATTAATATATTATTATATTATATTTCTTCTATACATATGTTCCTTCCTTGTATGAAAAAATTAAAGAATTTATTTGTTTATTCACTTATTTATTTACTGGGGCCCCCACAACAATAACAATCTATGAGGATGGAGTATATGGACGTGAGACATCTTTGAAGTTGTGAGTTTAGCAACATTTATCAAAAAAATCCTTCCTCATCCGAAGTCTGTTGAGACATAGGGAAAATCCAACAATAACTGATTTTGCTTAAATAAAAACATTTTTATCTATTTTTATTGTTTATTTATTTAGAAAGTGGTTTGCGTTTGAATTGTTTTAAAAATATTACTGTTAAATTTCATTATGCAATAATAATTATTAAAATTGTCAAAGAAACTAAACGTTTTTTTTTTAGCTCCAAATGGATTTATACCGGTTTCAAAAATAACGGCCGATATATACATACGGGTGACCAGACCAAACAGAACTCACCAGAACAGAACATGACATATCAGGACAGTTTTAAACAGAACGTCTTACAAGAGAACAGGACAAAACAAAACAGCGACAAAATAGAATAGTACTAAAAAAGAACAGGATATCGGAAAAAAATATTGCATAAAATTCCAATAAGAAAAATGATATATTTATAATTAAATATAGTATATAATATATTTACACTATAATATGTGTGTTTAGTTGCATAAGTAATATATAATTTTGTTTTTAGTAGGTAAAACTGCTGCGGACTTAAGGAGTACCACCTGTGACAGCTATTTTAGAATAGTCATTGGGTTACATTGTGTTGCATAGAGCTGCTGCTTATCTGTTTATTGGTTCCATCAATACCGCAGTTGACCGCAGTGTATATATAGGTTGGATTTAAATAACATTTACTTAACCTATATGTTTCATGCTTTGGGAAAGTGTTAGTTGGTGTTAGTAAGTGTTAATATCAGTTAATATATTGTATGTATGATTAATTATTATACTTATATATAAACATTTATATATTTTAGAATAATGGCCAAGGAATTATTATTAACGTCACAGCTGCAGAACTCTCAACAAGTTTCTTGTTGTTTCTGGGATTACAGCAATGGAAATGTATTGCAAGTATACAAAAATGGAGGCAGTGTTCCAAAGAAGTCCATGTGCCTATTGGGAAATGATTTCTTAATCACAGCAGAACATACCAAACCTTTGCTTCACATATGGCCTTTGAATAATCAAGAGCCCTTGAAGAATGTGAGGCTAGTAACACCAGAGCCTGTAAATGCTCTGGCAGTATGTCCAAGAAATACTTATCTGGCTGTTGGTATAATGTCCAAATTATATATATGGGAGTTGTGCTCAGGTAAACTACTATCAGTGCAGCAGATCCACTATCAACCAATAACATGCATACAATTTTCAAATAGTGGAGGCTATTTAGTTGTAACTGGAGAGGATGGATTAATTGTTACATACAATATATTGGATTTAATTAATATTAAATACAAACATAAGGCCCAAAGTGAATTAGGTCAAGTTGATCCTTTATATAAAAGGATGGATCATGCTCTCCCTATTCATGATCTACATATTGGAAAGTTTTCATTCAAATCTCGTTTTGCAACAGTTTCAAGTGACCAAACATTAAGATTATATCAGTTGAGTGATGGTGAGTTACTGTTAACACTCATCTTTAACTCTGCCCTAACAGCACTATGCTTTGATGCACCATTTTTCAATGCATTTGTTGGAAATCAGGAAGGTTTAATTTCCATGTTTGATTTGACTTCATCACCAAGATCATTAGAACATCACGTGGAAGAAAGCACATTAAATTTTGTTGGACATAAAGGAAAAGTGACATGCTTAGAAACTAATTTATTCAATAACAGATTGGCCTCTGCATCAGAGGATCTTAATATATTTATTTGGGAACTGAAGAGCAGGCAAATTTTAAGGAAAATTGAATTGAAAAGTGTACCCAGCAATTTGAAGTTTGTCCTTACCAGTGAGGAGATGTTTTGTCAAAACCACAAGCCAAATATTGTGATAAACAGTTTGGAGAGGAGTTTGGAAACTGATTTGAATGATACAGTTGTGTCCACCTTGCAGAATGATACTAGATGTGTCAGAGAATCATGGATTAAGAGAAGGGACCAAGAAGAGCAAGATAATATTGAAGATTTGAGAGCACAGATTATAACAATTAAAAAGCACAATATTGAATTGTTTACACAGTTAAAAATGTATCAGAAATTAAATATTTAAATCTTTTTTTATTTGTTTGATATGTTTATGCTATTACTGATGAACTGTATCCATTCGTCATTGATTTATTGTTTGATGCTTCTTTTATAACCTAGTGAAAATGAAAGTAACATTTAAACCATATTATTATTCTCAATATAAACAAACCTCAATGTGACCTTCTATTTCTTTCATTGACCTTTCAATCCAATCCATTGCAATCTTCTTGCTTCTGCACTCGTATTGCGCAATGAGAGCTAAGTGAGTTACAGCTAACATCAAGGCAGTAGCTCTAGCTTCTAATAATTGAGGATTCAATGGAGGATACATGCTTTGAACCATCTCGTCGACTCTAAGCGAAATTTTCTTTGCGCACTGAAGTAAATAATGTTTACTTTTATTATATTTTTAAACTTTAAATTTTTACAGTGACAATTTCTTTGAGTCCAAACCCACTGGTATTAATAATACCCATGGCAAGTGCAGTCAATCTTTCTGTCAGTGACCTGCAACATTTTAGGATAGCTAAGCAATGCGGGATCAGTCCAGAAACGTCATCCAGCCATTGCTGGTCTCTGAATATATAATCGAAGTTTTCATTGAAGCAAACAGTGTCGATCTCCATTTCAGATTTCTCAAAATGTTTGTCATTATTCTTATAAAAAATGACATCGTCAGGCTCAATCATCATTAAATCGGAAATGGGACTAAAAAGAAGATCGTAAATATTGTTGATTGTTCGCAATCAATTTACATATTGGCATACCGTTTTACTAATTTCTTTCCTTTTAAGTATAAATGTAGATTGAAGAATTTAGTACGCTTACAAACGAAAACTAAAATCACGAAAGCACTTAAAAATAGTGCAGATAACACGCCCATTGCTATTGCTGTGAATAATTCAAATATTTCATTTGTTGCAGACATTTTCTTTCGCCCTGAAAACGAACACAAACATTATTTAATACTCCTTTTAATACGCCTACATTTTTCTCTCATATACAGTGCATATTCATAGTTTTTTGTAATATATTATTTTGAAGTTGTATATGTTAAATTTAATTTGAAAATTCTAAGATTGAAAAATGTAATAATTATGTAATTTATAATATTTGATTTGAAAGTAACGATTAAAATAATAGTAAAACATCACGCAAAATGTATAACCATTAAGATTTAGAATATTTTAACTTATATGGGTCTATATCGCAAGCCCGACAACCGAAATACCGTCTATCGAAATCCTGACGTTCGAAATCCCGATTATATCAAAATCTCGACAACCATAATCCCGACTGTATTAAAATCCCGACTATATCGGAAATTTCTACAATAACATTTTTAAATTATTTCGAAACGTAGTCACCTCGTGCTACACTTTTATTATTAATAACAATAAATTATTATTAATTTATTTGATTTTATTGAATTATTCATAATAAACCTTAACATTATGAAATAATATCAAATACAATTAGATTATTAATTGTTGTTATTTATTATTAATAACAATTAAAGAGTGACTACTGGTGACTACGCTCCGGAATAATTTAAAAATGTTATTGAAGACATTTTTGATAAAGTCGGGATTTCGATACAGTCGGGATTTCAAAAGTGGGAATTTGACGGTATTTCGGTTGTCGGACTTGCGATTGCCACCGCCACATAATATTTACATCAATTTTCGTTGGAACTTTTCCATTCCTTTAAAAGTTGCGAGTTTGTTATGACCTGCCATCTAGTGAACAATACTATCATTATTCTGACATTTTTTTTTTGTTTTTCTTACCTAACCAAAATTTCATTTGGTTATTCGCAGATCTAAGTTTGGAAGATTAATAAGATGTCCGAAGAAAAAGTTGATACAAAGTGCAGCGAAGCAAGCTCAAAAATAGTTGAATTTAAAACTCTAGAAGAATTTAGGAAGGTATGTTGACACATAATGTGTTAGTTATGAACTAATTCTTGAGGTTATATTGTGCACATGTGTATTAAATTATTTTTTTAGTATGGTTTTAAGGCAATTGTAGAAGCAACTAGGAATTCTAATGCACTACCAGTAAACCGTGATTATAATTTCTATAAAACACATGAATCTTTCAATAAAATCATAAACAGTGAAGCTTCACATATCTTGTCAACAATAAACACCATACTCAAGAAAAATGATATTCAGGATAACATTAAAAATAGGGGTATTGATGAGAAAATCGAGTTGGTGGTTGAAGCCAATGATGCTATATTGGAGAGAGTTGCAATGAAAATTGATGAGATGAATGGACTAAGGAAACTGCCTGAGCAACCAATTATACAAACAGTGCGGGCAGAGTTACCAATCAATGGCTCTTGGAATAGAGTGAATAAATTTACCGTAGATTCAGCAATACATGGAAATGTAAGTCCCAACATCTAATTTTGATTTGACACTTATGATTGTATTAAACTAACTATGATCTTTTTATTTGCAGGATCAGACAAAAGCAATTCAACTTTTGGCTGCAAAAAATATTATAAGGCCTCAGAAGTTCTTCAAAGACATTATTGAGAACAGTAATAATTACCCATGGAAACCAAGAATTACAGAGAAACCTAATTCACTAAAACCTTTGGCTTTGTACATTGAAGATTCTGAGTTTGGAGAGATGTATGTATTTATTGTAATAATGATCACATTAATTATTATTTAATTCTTATAGTTATTCTCATCCATATGAGGTGGAATTAGAAAAGTTTTTACCCTCAGAAGAATTTGTATGCTCTTGTACACCTGAACCACCTAAACCTGTCAAAGAGACTCCATTATATGAAGTAAATACTGAAGAAGAACTAAATGAATTATTGGATGTCTTGAGGAAACAGAAAGAGATTGCAGTGGATTTAGAGCATCATTCATATAGATCATTTATGGGTATCACCTGTTTAATGCAAATTAGTACAAAGGATGCTGATTATCTAATTGATACGTTGGCTTTGCGAGATAAGTTGCATGTATTAAATGAAATTTTTACGAGGAATAGCATTGTCAAAATTTTCCACGGCGCAGAAATGGACGTGCAATGGCTTCAAAGGGATTTGTCCCTGTACGTTGTCAATATGTTCGACACCCATAAAGCAGCTAAGCAATTGGGATATTCCGGATTATCTCTGGCTTACTTGTTGCAAAGATTTTGTTCTTTTGTACCTAATAAACAATTCCAGTTAGCTGATTGGAGGATAAGACCATTACTCGAGCAATTGAAAGCGTATGCCCGCGAGGACACCCATTATTTGATATACATCTACCATATGCTTAAAAATGAATTAATTAAAATGGGAAATGGGAATAATAACATTTTAAAAGCGGTATTTCAAGAGAGTACACGCGTGTGTATGAAGGTAAATCACATTATTATTTCTGAAAAGAGCAATTTACTATATTGTTAATGTATTATTTTCAGCGTTACGTAAAACCTAGATTGACGGAGAATTCTCATATGGATATGTACGTAAAAAGCAAGCGATTATTTAATAATAAGCAGTTATTTGCATTGAAGCATTTATATTCATGGAGAGATGCAATGGCCAGAGAAGAGGATGAGAGTACAGGGTAAGTAGTTTCACATTATTTCTTTTACCATTTAATCTATATTTATGATCTATTCACAGATACATTTTGCCTAATCACATGTTATTGCAAATATCAGAAACGTTACCAAGAGAGGTGCAAGGAATATTAGCTTGTTGCAATCCAATTCCACCTTTGGTTCGTGCCAATGCAGTGGAATTACATCAGATTATTTTGAAGGCGAGAGAGCAACAACTAGAAAAGGTAAGTGTCCTTATTTTTGATAATTATGATAATTTTTTAATATCTTTTTTTGTTAGGCTATTATGAAAGAAGATACGAGAAGCAGAGGCGCTGAAAAGGAATTAGTAAAATTGAATATTGATAGCCCTTTGCATTGCCCTCACGATTTAACCAGATTCCCAGAGTTCAGAGATGATTTGCCAACATTGTTAGGTTGCAAGACACATACCAATCGTTATCAAAAAAATATAATAGAAAAGGATAAATCGTTGTGCTCAATATTTAATTGCGAACCAACGGAAGTATGCATTTTCGCAATTAACAATGAAGTTTTTTTAAATCTAATTCAATATATTTTTAGGATAAGCCGAAAAAAGTTTCGGATCGAGAATTTTTGGGTCCGTACGAGCGTTACAAGTTAATTAAAAACTTTATAATAGATTCAGATAAATCTGAGGAGATACCGGAGGCGAAAGGAAAAGAAATTGCGGAAAACGACGAAGATGATTTATCAGTTCAAGATAGGATGGCTAAGGTTTACAAAATTTTAATTTTGTTAATGTAACTATTTAATGGTTTTTCAATTTTAGTTGCACGATCATTATGTGAAAGTTAAGAGAATTGAAGAGAAGAAAAATGAACCGAAAACGTTAACTGAAATGGGTGGATCCAAGAAACGCAAACGGGATATATGTGAATCTGATTTTCAACCATTCCAAGAAAATTCAGATAATCCCATTCTTACAACAATTCCGTTTGACAAAAAAAACGTGCAGGTTGACAATGATGAGCAAAAGGTACATACAAGTGTAAACTCGAAACGAAAATGCAATTTACCGGAAAGTAATAATACACCGTATAAAAAGAGTAGAGACAACGATAACGAAAAGACAATAGGAGGTGGAAAGCAATCTAATAAAAATCACAAGCAACATCAGAACAGGAAATTCCAGAAAGCAGACGATAGAAGTAATCAACATATTGAGGATAAAAATAATGACGTAAGTGATACACATTTTTTTCGAAATACTGAATTTATAACTAATATTCAAAATAAGCCGTCTCACAAATTGCTAAGCAACATCCCACGCGTTAAAGAATTTGAACTAGAAATTGGTGATGTTAAAAAAATGAATCGAAAACAACGCAGGCTATTACAGTTTCAAAATAAGTTTGTAAACGGAAATGAAAAATTCAATATCTTAGAATCTAAAAAACATGGACGAATTAAAACTAGCAATTATGGATGTGGTGAACTGTCAAAACCTATGATTAATATTTTCAAAAAGTTAGTTTCAATAAAAACTTTGAGGAAAGAGCAGACAATTTGCTGTAATATGGCAACAAAAATGAATAGGAAACAGCGTCGAAAATTGTTGTTCCAACAAAATAATCTTATATTGAATGAATCAAATAATGTACGAACAATTTCAGAAGATGAACAAATTAATAAAAACATAATTAGTATAGAAAATATGGTGAAAGAAACATTGGAAGAGAATACTTCAAATATAGAAAATAAAAACATAGAGAATTTACAATTACGTATTGCTGGAAAAACAATGAATAGAAAAGAGCGTCGGAAGTTAATGTTTCCACAAAATTCAAAAGAAACTGATAACGAAAAAGTTAATTGCCTTGAGTCTAAAATAATTAAAGGCCATGAAAGTGTACAAAGCAATTTAATACAGGACATGGAACATCATCTTATTGATACTAATACTAAGAATAATGCGTTTGATCAATCTAGACAGATGAACATAAATAAAAATATTAGTAATGTTTTGGCAAAGAAGAAACGAACGCGCTGGAATAGTTTAGAAGAAAATGATAAGTGTCTGCAAAGAGTACAAAACATACAACATGGACTAAAAGAAATACAAGATAAGCATGAACTTATTACAAAGACGAAACCAGACTTAAAAATAATCCAGCATTTATTAATTAAAACACAGAGCACTTTTGAATGTATGATTGATCAATATGAGAATAAAGAAATTCTCTCTGCTAATGAAAGTTTTCAAGTGAATAAGAATCATAACATTGAGCATATGGTAGATCAAGAGAAAGAAGAATATTGTAAATTAAGAAATATTGAACTAAGAGAAGACCAATATCCAAATATAAGTACATCTGGAATTCTCAATTTAAGTGACAGTAAAGTAAATAGAAACCATAACATTGAGCACATCGTAGACAATGAGTCATCATATATGTTAAAAAATATCGAATTAATTCAAAACCAATCTATGCCAACTATAATTAAAAGTCATTGTGTTGAAAATATAGGTGAGACTATCCAGATTCAAGAAAATAAATCATACTTAGATGATTATCATATAAATGAATTGCAAACTCAAGTATCCAAGAAATCTAAAAACACTGAAACAAAACAAACCACCGACATATTCATTATAGATGAACATAAATCTTACTTAGATTTTGCTTATGATCCAGGCGTAGATATATTTAGTCAAATAAATATTTAATAACAAATACTCAAATATTCCCACGGCACGTATGATTAAAAATAAACAAGTCTCAAATTTAAATGTCTCTTTAGCACAACCTTCAATGAAGACGCACATCAGTTTCCAAAACGATATTCATTAAGTAAACAACAATATATTGATTATAAAATCAATATATAAATATATAAAATATTATATAAAAAAATAACTGCTGGTTTAATAAGGTACAGCCCGTAATTCCACAACATTTCAAAGTTTCGAACTATAATAATCAAATTTATAGAAATGACCATAATTCACTATCTGTTACGAATTCACAACTTGTCGACTTTCTATCTCTTTTCAAATACCAGTAAAAGCAATTATTGAAAGTAATATTAGTCTAAATTAATTAAATACAGGTGTTAATCAGGCGCGCACCGTGCACGGATGCAGCGCAACCACCAATATTCAAATCAGCCTTCAATTATCCATAAACTGCAATTAATCCACAACTAAATAACGTTCTTGCTAAGATAGAAAAAATACATTGACAAATTTCACAGAAGATTCCATCCAATAAATCTCCTTTGTCAAATAAAACTATTAGAATGAATCAAATAATTATATTATATATAAAAAAAAAACTGTCAATAATCCCCAATTAGTAACAACTCCACAACTTGTGGACGTTCTTACTAAGATAAAAATGACGAGATAATCTAGAGAAGAATAAAAAATAGTTATATTTCTTAACAGCCAGAAAGCTTAGAATAGCGTTAGGCGAAATCCATGAATTAAACAATATTAAATAAAAATAGCAGATGGACTAACAATACCAATAGATACCTTGGTAAAGTATACAATTAGAGTTACACATTAGAAAACAACAATTAAGATGACGCTATGGTTAAGAGCGTGTAGAACAATTTTAAAAAGACCATAAGTATGCACTTGTCAATACCTGCACATAAGAATAAGAGTAACCAAACAACAGAAGAGAACAGCAGTTCCAGGTGATCAACATACTAACTACCCATATGCAGAGATCAGAATAGAATAACACAAGAGTGTGATATGAGCACGGATTTTAATGATCAGATAGATCAATGAAAATTATGCGACAAAATGAAAACAAAGGAATTGTACCATCTATAGCAGAACACTAAAGATGAAAATATTAAATTACAGAAACAGTCGCCCAACGATTGGTGGAAGTCCAAGACCCGGAAACCAAATCAAAGCCATAATCAATTTCCCTCTGGCAAAATCAATGAGGGATTCAAAGCATTTGATTATTCAAGCATCGATTATAAAAAACAGTTTCAAGGTGGTGCCAGTCAAAAAGGACAACATTTGTTTGGCACTTCTTTCACTGGAGGGGTATTTTTTTTTATATGTTTGCTTTATTATTATTATTATTGTTTTTTTTTTAGAAAAAGAAGGCTTCCCATAGAGGAGGATCGTCTAAACGTGGAAGAGGAAAATAATCACATATTATATTTTTATTTGTTTCATTAACATTAATGAATTATATATTATACTATAATTATTGTTTAAAATATTTAATTCTATATAATTTCATGTTTATAAGTTATATATTTCCTCTAAATCCAACTCCCCTATTATAACAATCTACTTTACAAACAGGTATTTTAATTTAAATTAGTTTAAATAGAATACTTCTACGTGGCCATTTTCATGAGCAAGAGGGAATATTATAGATAAAAATATTGTAGTCAGTATTCAGTTAACATTCAGGATTTATTAAAATATCTGCACCATAAATAAATGCATGCATGCGATTTTTGGTATACATCTGTAACCGAACAAATGTAATTTTCCGTCGAACTTCAACCATATTTCCGTCGGAAAAGTAATTATGAGCAAAAAAAAAAGCATGAATCAATTCAACGTGTATTATTATTTTTAAAATGGTTATCAGAACTACAAATTAGTTTCATAGTAAAGTGGTTGATATTTTTTTTACAAATTAGTTATGCAGGAAAAGTTTCTATATACTAATCACATGAACGTCAGGATTTTGAGAAGGTTTTTATTGCAACAAACTTGCGATTTTATTGCGATCAAACTCCAGCATAACACTTACTTGTGAGTGCGATTGCATTTTAAATGGTAAATTAATATATTTTATTTTTAATATAATGTATTTACATACTCCTTATGCTTATTTATTCACTGTCTTCGCTTGATTCAGAATCCTTTAAAGCCTTAGGTTTATCCAGTTTCCTAGACCTCCTTGCCTCGAAATCTGAACCTTCTTCATCTGAGGAATATATAGCTCCACCTTTACACATAAAACACACGATATAGTAAAAACAATTTATTACGTAACAAATTTTACCTTTATTGGGTACGTTGCTACTGCCTCCAGACTTATATTTATTCTTAATAGCATTCAACGAGATTGCACCTTCTTCATCACTTCCATCTTCCTCTCTGTATGCATTAACGCTGCTATGCAGTCTGGCACTTCCATCCCCTCTCTTCCTAGGTTTCGTAATGCGCGTAGTTTGTCGCAGCTTCTCTTCCTCTTTCTTAAGTAATGTCTTTCTATCTTGGTCGGGATCAATGCCAACTTGCGACAATATTTTGATACCGGTCGTCTTTTGTGAACGATCTGCCAACGAGAGTGTCATCTTACGATGAGTGAAACTCTCGGTGGAATGTGGTCTAAAACTCAATTTTGTACGGAATACTGCTTGACCTTGCAAGCCGGTACCTTGACGAATGAACAGATGATTGTGGTCGCCCTACAAATTAATTGAACATAATATATAACATATATAATAATTACATAAAATTGAAAGTCACCTGCAATGGTTGTTTATAAACATCAAAAATTTCAGAACCGAGATGCAAACTTAAAGAACCATCCGACCATCTGACCATTCGCGCATTTGATTCCTTCAATATATCACCTTCTTTGGTGACAACTTCCCTCCATCTTATAGTATTTTCAACTTTTAATTTCAACCTATTTGTAAAAAATAACTGTAATTGTTATACGCTCTTAAATGAACAACTATTTTTTTATTACCTAGCTCTGCCTTCCTCATCTAAAGTTTCTTCTTCGTCAATTTCGTCTTCATATGTCTCCTGATCGAACGGACGTGTCTCGACAGACAAAAAATTTGGTAATTTCACAAAATGAATTTCTCTGCCCAAATCGCAACTAATTTTCGGTATTTTAACATCAATTCTTGTTTCCTGGATAGTTTCAATTTCGTTCTCATCCTAAAGTAAGAACAATTAATATTTATATAAATAAAAATAACATTTTCATGTTTTACATCTACGTCGTTTTGACGCTCATTATCATCATCCGATCGTCGTCTATCGTCGTCATCGGATCTTCTATCATCGCGTCTATCTTCATCGTCACTGTCCTTCTTTTCTTTTTCTTCTTCACTGCTAATGTCATCGGCATCACCAAATAGAGCTGCTGCATCGGCTTCTGCCTCTTCTGCTTTTTCCGGTTCAGGCTCACTGTCTGAATCAATTATTTTACTTTTCTTTTTAGTATTTATATGGCGTTCAGATGAACTATCTCTAGCGCGTTTATCACTCTTAGGTGATGATGCATCAACTTCCAAATCTGGACTGAGTGAACGACTTCTTGATTTGGATTTCGACTTGGAGCGACTTTTATTAGTTATAACGCTTTTTGATCTAGACCTGGACCTTTTTGAGCCCCCTGATCTATTGGATGCAGCACTTTTAGATCTAGATCTATTAGATGCAGCACTTTTAGATCTAGATCTATTGGAGCCGACACTTTTAGATCTTGACCGGTTTGATGCGACACTCTTAGATCTGTGTGAAGCAACACTTTTAGATCTTGATCTGCGCGATGCAATACTTTTTGATCTTGATCTCCGCGACCCACCGCTTTTATTAGAATCGCCACTCTTAGATCTAGATCTACGCGACCCTGTTCTGTTTGAGGCTGCGCTTCTAGATCGTGATCTATTTGAAACTGGACTTCCTGATCTGGACCTGTTCGAACCAGAACTACCAGATCTTGACCTATTTGAAGCATTGCTTCCTCTACTTCTTTTAGAAATATGGCTCCCTGACCTTTGAGAAATATTACTTCCTGATCTTCGAGATACATTACTTCCTGATCGTCGTGAAACATGACTACCAGATCTTCGAGAAACATGGCTACTAGATCTATTTGAGACTTTGCTCCCTGATCTATTAGAAGCAGGACTTCCTGATCTATTGGAGCCAGGACTTCTAGATCTGTTTGATCTACTCCCAGATCTATTAGAGGCCCTACTTCCTGAATAATTAGATCCTCTGCTTCCTGATCTATTAGATTGTCCACTTCCTGATCTATTAGAATTTCTACTACCTGATCTGGGGGAAGATCTGCTTCTTCTTGAATGGTTAGAAATCCTACTGCCTGATTGGTTTGAACCCCTACTACCAGAATGATTTGAGCCTCTGCTTTGTGAATGATTGGATGTTCTACTACCGGACCTGTTTGAATGAATAGATCTTGGACTTCCAGATCTATTTGATCCAGAATTTGACCTGTTTGAACCAGCACTATTAGATCTGCTGCGACTGGAGTATGATCTAATAAAATCTGGTGTAGGAGATCTAGATTTGTCTAAACCATAGCCTGGTGTAGGTGCAGGCCCTGTTGGGCTAAGGCTCCTATCACTCTCAGACCCAGACATACTTTCAATTCACTCAATTATCTTCTTTAATATAATAGTTCATTTACGAAAATAATATGTTTTTGTATTATTTAAAATTAACAAAATAAATCAATTTGCCAACTAAATGAGGTTATGTTTTGTAAAACCTGTGGAATATTTAAACTTAAATTCACTATTTGGGACAAATTATGATGAAATATTATTGTAGTCATTCACTTTAAATTCTTTTCACTTTTACCATTGATTGTTATACAACTGTATAATAACACATAATAACGCCGATTTAAACAAAATATAAATAAAACGTTTACAATGAAGTCATCAATGAATGAAATGGAATGAAATACTGAGTCGAAGTTGAACAGAAGGATTCAATAATACTAAATCCATAAATGTAAATTAAACTTTTAATATTTCGTTCAAAGAGACAAAATATCTTATAATAATATTTCAATTAGAGATATTATTTATATAAAAAATGAACACGTTTTTAAATAATTATATTATATATTGTTGGTACTTCTTTGAAGTTATTGGTTGTGCAATGCCATTTGTATAGTTCTAGAACATCAAAAAGTATAAAATAAATAAATTGCAAATATAATTTAATATAAATTACAAGATCCAAATTTTATACATTATGAATTAAATTATTAGTGCATCGAATAAAAAATTGTCCGAAATATTTACGCCTGTTATGTCATATGACATGTGGTGTGAGCAATAACAATTTTTTGATGAAATTTTCTGCAAATTGTAGAAAATTATTTTTTGGTTGAAACAGCTTTATAAGAGTGGATTATAGGAAAGTAATCATAAAAAAATAACCATGGATTATGATTCTGATGAGGAAAGACCAATGGAAGAGGATTATTACACTTTCTTAAATGTGGCAAAGGATGTATGTAGATTTATAATATATAACTTGATTTACATAATATATTTATTATTTAGGCAAGCAAAGATGATATTAATACTGCATATAGAAGATTAAGTAGACTATACCATCCTGACAAACATGTTGAAATAAATAATAAACAGAAAGCAGAACTGCTTTTCAATAAAACTAAAAAGGCTTATGAAGTATTATCAGATCCACATAGGAGAGCAATCTATGACACTTTGGGTGTTAAGGGTTTAGAAACTGATGGATTAGAACTTGTTCAGAAAACTAGAACACCTGCTGAAATAAGAGAAGATTATGAACGGCTTGCTGAGGAGAGAGCAGAAAGGAAAAAAAATCAAAGAACCAATCCCCATGGATTTGTAACTATCAATATCAACGCTACTGATTTATTTGATAATTACAAAGATGAATTAATGGATGAATTGGATTTGTAAGTAATCTAGCCAAGTTACTTATTTATTTCTTTAAGAGTTGATTTATTTTCAGTGATGATTCTATATTTCCAAATGTTGAAGTTTCTGGTATGACCTTTAACCAGTCTGTGGAATTTCCATTGACTTCAAAAAATACCTGTACAATGTCTGGTACACTTAACACAAAAAATGGAAATGGAAGTGGTGATGTGAGTGTAAGTTGGAGGCATTTATATTCACACAAGGCATGGACTGAGGTTGAGGTTGCTGCTGGTAATGGACCAGCCCTTTCATTTAAAGGGTTTAGAACACTAAGCAAGAGGTTTTTCTGGAATGGAGGTGCCATGTTTCATTTGACTCCTGACAGTATTAGACCTGGTTTATCTTCAACAATAGCAATGCAAATTGATAATCATTCTGTAGCTTATTTGACTTATCAGGGAGGTTTAAGATCTTTGCTTTCTACATCCCTTGTAAGAGATACAGGTAACATGTAACATAAAAATTGAATATATAAAATGTAAAAGTTATTTATTTTTAGAATATTCCACACTTAATATTGCAATGCAAGTAGGTCTACCTCACTCTTTTGTTATGTGTAGCTTCATAAAAAAAATGATAAGTAATGAGATGAAACTGAAAATTGTTGTTAAGTATGACCAATTAAGGCTTGCGCCGCTTTAGGTATATATATTTGTTTATATTGCTAGAAATCTCTTTTAGAGCTGGAACATTTGGAGGACTACTGGAATATGGCGTTGAAAAAAAAGTATCAAAACACAGTAACTTAGCAGCTTCAGTGTCTGTTGGAGTACCAAGCGGTGTTAAATTGAAAATTAGGTATGCATTAACTAATATTATATATTATTTTTAAATAATTTTCTGGTTTTCAGATTAACAAGAGCAAATCAAGTTTATTCATTTCCAATACATCTGTGCGAGGAAATGTTGCCAGCCCCTATATTCTATGCAACAATTGTACCATTAGTCACGTATATTATTATTAAGAAAGGCTTTGTCGATCCATTCGTGGAAAAAGAAAAAGCGAAAAAAGCTGAGAAAAATAACCGAAACAATAGGGACAAATTATTGGAAAAGAAGCGAGAAGCACAGGCTGCTATCGATTTAATGACAGCTGCCTACTCTAGGATCCTTGACGAAGAGGAGGCAAAGAAGGGATTAATTATAGTAAAAGCGATCTATGGCAATGTAGTCACTGGTAAAATGATTTGTTATACTGTCAGAGTATAATAATCATTTGCATTCTTATGCTTGTATTTTAGATGGTAGTAATTCAAATCCAAACAATTTTGAAGATGAAGTCATTGAAGTAACTATTCCTCTGCAATGTTTGGTTAAAGACAGTAAATTAATTCTGCATGAATCACCAAAGGTATATAGACAATTATATAAAAGAAAAATATTTATTTATTCTTAATTTAGAGTCAATTGCCGGGCTTCTTTGATATAACTGGTAAAGATAAGATGTTGCATATTGTTTACAATTATCGGCAGCAACCACATGAAGTCACTATAAAAGATAATGAAGTGCTCAGGATACCAAAAACTGGTTAGTTTATTTAGGTTTATATATTTGCTGTTGAAACAAAATTTCTTTTTTAGGTCATAAATTATTAATTGTCACATGATAGAATAGCATATGTGATATAAATATAAAACTAGTTACAGTAAATAGATGTGGCACTTAGAAAATGAGGCATCTGGTGCATATGATTGTTACTAAATATAAAATGTGCCCAAGTTGTTTTAACATGATTTTGGATTGCTATTCAAAGTGCCTTCTTCTATACTTCCTTTCATATTTACCCCTCATATTTTTGTTTCTAATTTTGACTAGTGTCTGTTATTTGAAAGAATAAAATATTTGTTACTATTTTAGTTAATTTTATTGTAAATATTATTTTTAACTTAATTCCCTCAAACTTACAGGTCCATTGGAGTTTCCTGTAAAACCTCACAATTATTATTTTGTGAGTAGAGACATTTGTTAATGAAAGCCAATTCACTATTCTTCCTTTCTATTTCTGCAATTGCAGTCCAGGATTGGTCCATTTCTAGTCTAAAACTACCTAAAAACTCATGTGGACTGTTCCATTCTTCTGGTGATAACATACTAAAGTATTTTTGGTTAATGGGCCTCATATATAAATGATAAGTACTTCCAGGAACTTTTACAAAATTACAAGCTGTGTGATGTAATTCTGTATTATCTTTTGTTTCATTCAGTACTTTCCTTGCTTGCTCTTTCAAAAAACGAACCTGAAAAATAAGTTTTAATTAATGATTAATTATATATACATATTAAAAAATAACACCTGTTTTGCTATAACTTGTAATTTATTACAAGCAGATGCATACACAAAATTATCAGCCTACAATAAATATATGTTAATTAAAATTTAAGCTTCAAAATAATATTATAAGTTGTTATACTCTTTGTATTTCCATTGCTAATTCAACGATATCATTATGAGTCTTTTTTGAGACTTTTGTAGGATTTACTAGCTTCAAGCCACCAGGTGACGAATTTTGATCTACTAAAGCAACTAAAAAAAAACATTTAAACATTTCATAAATCAAATCTATATATTTAATACCTTCTTGTAGATTGCAAAATTCGTATGCCCTCTTCATATTGTTAATTTTACTCACAAAATGTATACTAGTTAGTATTTATAGGTTATATTCATTAAACGAGTAGATTAATTTCATTTTGTAAAAAAAGATAATTAAGTATAAATATGATGTGTTTCTACAAAATACATAACAGTTAAACTTGATCCACACTTGACCTGATTCTCTCTTTTATTTATTTATTATTATTAGATCTTTTTTTTGATGTTTTAAAAGTCAAGTTCGTAACTGTCAACAACTGTCAATGTCAAATTGATAATGTTACAAACATCAAGATGGTAATGTGAAAACTTGTTCATTAATTTTAAAATAATTTCTAAATTACAACCATTACAACAGGTTTCCCATCCACAAAATTCTCTGTTTAAATAACATCCGTTGTATGACTTCCACAGAGGTTGCCACAGCTCTAAGACCCTTTTACTTTGCTGTTCACCCTGATCTGTTTGGACAATATCCTAGCCAAAGGGTGCTTATATAACTGTTTTTTTAATTTAATTATTATTAGTAATAATTCATGTTTCCATATAGACAGTCAATGAAAACTCCTTGAAGCAATTAAGTTCATTTCTTGAATCACTACAGAATAGGAAAACAGCCTTACCATGCAATTTGCAGTTCTATATAAGAGAAAAAAAGGAAGACAAAGGTTCATTCCGTTTAGTCAAGTTATTTTTGAAGGAAAAAGATCTAAGAGAAGTAATATTGAATGTCTTAAAATCATGTGATCTTCCTACAGACTTTGTGGACAAGATTCCCAAACCAATAGTGAAACCTAGGCCAATCTATAGTAAAATAAATGACATAGATTTAAGTGATTTTGATATAGATGAAACCATCTTTGAACCTACATCTATGAGAAGGAAGATGAAGGAAGCTCAAGAATCTTTAAACTTGTTTGATTGGATTAACAAAAATCATGCAGATGCTCTAAGTAAGATAATGTTAAATCAACCAATTAGAGAGGAAAATAGTCGACTCAGATCTAAGCTTATTGAGAAATTAAAATTGTTTGATTTGAAATGGGATTGTGGATGGAATGAGACTCATATAAGGGGATGTTTGCAAAGTTTTGAATCTTTGTCTAATCAACATATTGAGCACATGTATATTTTAAAAGGTTTAATATTAATATATATAATTAGTATTATGTGTATTATGTTATTTATATATGCACATTTATTTTTAGGAAGAATTTTGGTATTTGCTCCATTTACAGGTGTAAGTTTAGATGGTCATATTATGCTGAATAGTGGCGAAGTAAGGCACAACTGGTTGGATGTAAGAACTTAATTCATAACTTTAGTATTTATATATTTCTAATATTTTATGCGCTTTTAGCTAATAAAAAATGTCAGGAAATATGATGCACATCTGTTAAAAATACCGGCATTTGAAAAGTCCGTTTCTCAAGTACTAAGAGATATTAAAGTTGTGAGAAGGAAGTTTATGCCCAAAATACTGGCTGGAGAATATGAAAAGAATTTGCAGCAAATCACCACAGCTTTAAGTGATTATTTGAGCTACAAGAGCTTTCCAAAGTCCTGGCCTAGCAGTTTCAAGAATTTCGAAATAGTTGTGGAAACGTAAATATATTATTCGTGATATTTGAGAAGGTAATATATATAATATATATATAATATATTTAAGGGAAGCTGGACCACTAATGGTATCACCGACGGGACAATTCATTGTCCCATCTTCTTGTCCTGGATCACTTCTAGTCAGTTTCTTAACAGACAATTTGCAAGATGCTTCAAATAGAATTAAAAAATATCAGATGTATGTATCACACCAGTTTAGGAATTATTTGTCCAAATTTTTAACTGTTTTACGTCATTTGATTTTACATATTTGCTAGCTCAACTTGTATACTGATGTTTATATCGTTATTTTTTTAATTAAACGTTTTTCTTATTGTAGGGTTAAAAATGTTGAAACCAGTTTACAATTAGATTGTATTAAAATATTGAAATTAATGGATTTGAGGAAAGATGATAACGTCCATCCTGAGCTGATGATTACTTGCTGCGAGAATCTTATCAACAACAAAGACAAACTGAATAACTTACAAGGAGTGTATTTGAACATAGCTACCTACTATTCGGTACTGTCTGATGGAGTTGTTTGCATACCATGGAATTGGACGACGTGATCAATACAAAATTCTTTTTAGATGTTATTATTAATAAAAATATATTTTAATTAAAACTATTGTTTATTTGTATAGGAGATAGGATAATGAATTCGCGTAGCTTTGTCCTATCGGAATTTCATAATAATATATATTTAATTTCCATATGGTACATACTTCAGAGTTAATGAAATTTGATTAACTGATAAAGAGCAGTATATAAACCGAGTCGAAAACGATTCTTTATAGCAGTGTCTGTTTGATTCATTATTTTGGTAAATATTATAAACTTCTTTACTTGCAGTTACATTTGTACTTTTGCTTTTAGACAATGATTCGTTTTATGGTTTTATTCATTTTGGTTCTCGGAACCATTGATGCAAAACCAAAACCATGCCATCATCGGGACCAAGCCTGCTTAGAAAATCAAGTCGCCATACATCGTCCACCGGGAATTTTCAAATCGCTTTCAGACTTCTTTAATCGCGTAGATATAGTAACTTCCAAACGAGCATCGTGCAGCAACCTCTACGATGAAGGCTGTATTAATGGAGGCCTTCCTGGTGCTGGCGACGATGAAGATTGGTTGAATGGAAATGGCCTAGGGAAAAGAGCATCGTGCAGCAATCTGTACGACGAAGGCTGCATCAATGGAGGTCTTCCAGGTGCTGGAGACGATGAAGACTGGTTGAACGGAAATGGTTTGGGAAAACGAGCAGGACATAAAGACTGGATGAATAAAAGTGGTATAGGGAAACGTGCATCATGTAGCAATCTCTATGACGAGGGTTGCATCAACGGAGGTCTTCCAGGTGCCGGTGACGACGAGGATTGGCTTAATGGAAATGGTTTAGGAAAACGAGCGTCATGCAGCAATATTTACGATGAAGGTTGCATCAACGGAGGTCTTCCAGGTGCCGGCAATGACGAAGATTGGCTTAATGGAAATGGTTTAGGAAAACGAGCGTCATGCAGCAATATTTACGATGAAGGTTGCATCAACGGAGGTCTGCCAGGTGCCGGCAATGACGAAGATTGGCTTAATGGAAATGGGTTAGGAAAACGAGCGTTATGCAGCAATATCTACGATGAAGGTTGCATCAACGGAGGTCTTCCAGGTGCCGGCAATGACGAAGATTGGCTTAATGGAAATGGGTTAGGAAAACGAGCGTCATGCAGCAATCTTTACGATGAAGGTTGTATAAACGGAGGCCTTCCTGGAGCTAGTGAAGATCAGGCCTGGCTAACTGGTAACGGTTTAGGCAAACGGGTTAACATACCTCAGCCAGGATATAATAAGAATAATTTTAAAGGAAATAAAAATAGCAAGACTCCCATTATGTATTAAATCAAATTCAATAATTATTTCATGTATAATTAATATTTTTTTCCATTTCATATATTATTTTAATCAGTGCATACATGAAAATTCATGTACAATGGCTATTGAACGCAGAATTTCTGATAATATATTTTGCAATCGGTAAATCGCGATGCATTTTTGTATTTTCAGAATATTGCCAAATTTAGAGTAAATTTTATACAATTACATGAAGACATTACAACATATGATAAAATTATAAACAACATTTATTTTTTCCAAATTAGAAACTATAGCAACATAATATTTTAACATTTGAGTCACTTTTAGTTGGAAACATAAATAAAATGCAAATAGTTTTAAAAACTATATTCATATACATTCTTTTTAATAATTACATCACATACAAACATTAATAACCTGGAATTCATCATATTTTCAGATACATTCTTTTTAATCTTAAGCAGACAAAAATTATATATGTATATATAATAATATAGGTATAAAATTAAGTGGAAATAAAAACCTACAAATAATAATATGCAAGTTAACAATGAGAGCAATCACAATAATCTTATTTTTTTTTACATTGCATAATTATTTTTAAAATAAGTAGATCAGGAAAGGAGAATAGAATGCACGTATTATTATTAATCATGCAAACTATTTGCCGTGCCATGTCACCGAGAAGAGAAAAACTAGCCTAATAATTATTAAAAATCCTATGTTATTTAAATGTATTGGATGTACCTTCCTTACTTAATTCATCGATATCCAACGAATTAATTAATGATAATTTATCGGACAGCGTTTGCAACCATTCTATTAAATTTGTATCTAATATATAACTTTTTTTGGACTATTAACATGATATAATTCTAATTTTTATTTCTTCCTTATAATTCTTAAAATAAATATATTGAGGAAAATAGTTAAATTACGAAACTCATCTGGACCCAAACATGTTCGCGGCGGTATTTTGAAATAATCTAAGACATAATTATTTTGAAATGCATGTTATTCGTTTTTACATCCATCCTTTTGTATGTTTTGTGTGTATTGTTTGCTTTGCTGGGTATGCTTTAAAATTATATATTTCTGTTTGCTTCATTGCCGTTTAACAAACTAGCAGGCGCAATTATCTTTAGCGGGCTGCTGATCACCGCTTAAATTGTTACGTCCGGGCTGCGAAGGTTTGTGTTGTACCCCAGATTCGGCAGCGTTCAAGTCTAATCTTCCATCTTGGATACTTTGGAATATTTTCTTTGCAGTCTCTAAGAAAGCCTCTTCCACATTAATCCCACTAAAAGTTAAAAGAAAAGGTGATATTTAATAGAGAAACTAATAATATTTAAACTACTATTACGTTTTTGCACTGGCTTCAACAAACATAAGACCATTTTCATCAGCAAATTGTTTAGCTTCCTCATAGGTAACATCACGTTGCCCCTCTAAATCACATTTGTTGCCAATTAAGAATATCACTGTGCTAGGGTTGGTCAAGTTTCTAGTGTCAGTCAACCAACTGCTCAGATGGTTATAAGTAGACCTTCTTGTAATGTCATAAACCATAAGAGCTCCAGCTGCTCCTCGATAGTAAGACCTTGTAACTGCACGGAATCTCTCTTGACCAGCAGTGTCCCAAATCTGAAGTTTGATCTTCTGTCCAGCAACTTCTATAATCCTAGTGCCAAATTCAACTCCAATTGTATGTGGACAATCCGACATAACTAAATATGCATCAATAATTATTAAATAGCATATCTCAATCATCATGTATCAAAACTTACACTTTTTTTCTGTAAATTGATGCAAAAGGCAGGATTTCCCAACACCCATATCACCAATTATAATATATTTAAATATGTAAGAGTAATTGTACGGACCCGCGGACATGTTGGTCTAAACAAAAGATATTGAAATAATAACTAGTTGGCCAAGTAACAAACTATGTAATTATGCGAATTTCCTAATTATTGCCATTGTGTCATAAACAAAAGCCAATATTCTTTTATTTAAAATTACCAAATTTCGGGCAGTTATTCAACGACTTACCGATTCTTCCTTTTGCTGTTTAGAACGTAGAAAATAGCTAAAACGAAATTAAAAACGACCTGCCTTTATTTCCTAAATAAATCGGGGAGTGAATTTAAACGAATACAAAAGAACTGTCTGTCAATAAATGTCAAATTGTCATGACAGCCATTTTCCTTCAATATATGTATTATTCAGATCAATTTTAGTTGCTTCTATAATATAATAATTATTAAAAAATATTACATCAAGTAATTTAGACAATTTGTTAAATTATTTTATTACTAAATTGTACGCAAAATATGTGCATGTAACAAATAACATGTTGTTTGTTTTATTTAGCGATAGATGCCGCCATCACAGAGCTCGAAGTTAAATTAAACAAATTTTATAGTTGTCAATATTTGTATACATATTGTATGTGCACAAATAAAATAGAACATCAATATTTAATTTACACGTGTTACTGGTCATACATATATTTTTTTTATGAATCTATTGGATATTTCTCATTGAAACATTGGTAACCACTGCGCGCTATATTTAAATTTATTGAATATTTGTTTATTCATAAAATTATGAAATAACACGTTTTTGATCGATGGCATGAACATTACATGCAATTTCAGTATATTTATGGAATGGAAGTGTCAATAATACACAAACATTGAAATTAATATTTTTTAACAACCAACTCGTAAAATTATATATTTTAATATATAGAGAAACTGCAATAAGAATGTTCTATATCAAATTATATTTTATAAATGATTAAGTAAAATATTAATTATAAATAGTTAAAATGTTATAATTATTGAAATTAGTGCGGCTGTTATATTATTATAAAATTTCCTATCTGTATTCATACATTATTATACAATTTTGTATAACTTTATTGACGTCACGTTTGGTGTACATATTACTTGTGCTTAGTATTTATTATTAACAAATCTTCCATCAAGCTATTTATTGTTAGAAATGAGATAACTTTCACCTCATCCAAGGAAGTATCAGTTTTGCAAAAAAAAGGTTTCATAAAAGTTGAAAAAATTGTGTTGTTGAAATTTTTTTATTTATTTGTTCCTAGTTATAGCTGGTATAAAATTTTTAAGTAGGCCTATGGGATTGTCCTATAATTAGTAATTCATTGACTTAAAACTTAATTGGACGTGATATAGCGGATAAAAAACTTGGTGCGAATTATAAACAATATATATATACGCAGTCACAAGATAACATATAATATATGTCACATTGTTATAGTCTTTAAAACCGTTGGGCCTTTTAAATTAAATAATAAAAAGTAATTCACAAACAATTTCCTCTGTACGCGCACCGACACACGTACCACAACACATCATTTTCACGCTCATTCGGGTTTTACAATAAATTCATAGAATATACAAAACATATATAATTTCATTTACATAGTTATTAAACTCAATAAAAAGAAAATTGTAAAAAAATATAAATATTGCAAACTAATAAGAAAATATATTGTATAATATATAATGCAGATCTTCAATAAACAAATATATATGTATATATATTTACATATACGTATATATATTCATATATATTTATAGAAAGATATAATTAGTACTTATTTCATGTTCTAATTGGAAAACAAAAAGAATAAATCAAAAAGTGGTCAAAGTAACATTATTTGTTCTGTTGGAAGACAATACACACAATTTGACACAATAATAAAGGTATTTTGCAAATATGAATAAGGAAACCTAAAATAATATACTCCCTTTTTGGCCCTATAGAAACTTTGAAATCTGTTCTCTCTTTTATACATACATATTATATATATTAAAAGAGGAAATTCAACAAAAAAAAAATCACTAGACACACTTTGGTTATTGAAAAATAATTATGAATTTTGAAAATTAGTGGGATAAAATATATCTGGAATCATGATAATATGGCGACACTTCTCCTGACGCCTGCTCCGTTCGTATTTATGTTATCCAAACTAGACCATTTTTTAAAGCCATTCTTCAATGCCTCCGCCGCATACTTGTCTTCCATGACACGAGACATAGCTTCAAGTTTTTGAGCCCTGTCCTTGCTGAGCGGTTCACTCGGAAAAGATAAGTCATTAGCCTCTGCAAGTGTACGCAGATCAAAGTAATATTTTGCATAGACACTTGATGGTACATTAATGTTAAACTGCAACAGCTCCAAAAATTGCCTCTCCAGTTCATTCATATCCTCCACAGTGATATCTTTCAATATCTGACAGTAGTCCACATTCCAAACTGCTTGATCATCCCAAACCTTGGATGCTAATAATATGGCACCTATAATAAGTTGAAACAATAATCCCTTGTTTAATTTAATAATAAAGTTGTGCAAATATTGAAATTAGATTATCATCTTATGAGTAAATATAAACAGATCATGATGATTGTTTAAATTTGAACTTACCTAAAACAATTCGTTTCCAATTGGATGGTGCAATATCGAGTTCAGCATAAGTCAATAATCTTTCCAAATAGACTAAAGTAATTATAGCACATTCAGCTGTAAGTTGGGCAGCATTAAATAGAGTCCTTACAAATTTGTAAATCTGTCTATGTTCTGGATTGTGTTTGTCATATTCATCATTGACACCATCCCTTGTTAATGGGTGTTGTTTCTCATCAAAAATTTCTATTTGTCTCTCCGAATCCCTATTTTTTATATGATAGTAGATGGCCAATGCAACACATTTCACTGTATTTTTTAAATTAGGTTGAGAGACTGTGCTGTCATCCAAGTAAATGGTAGAACATGAACTGCTCTTTTTAAGAGGCCTCAAATCAGCAATTTGATGTTGACTTTTCCTTCGGATTAACCCATTTTCAATGGCAGCCTTAGATCGTTCCATAAAAATGGTTTTTGCCATAGGGTCTTGTGATGGATCAGCATCCCCATCATCAGTCTCTCTTTCACTTATATGTTGTAAATTATTAACACTACTCTCACCCTCCTGCAAGCCATCCTCAATAGGGATAATAACCCTGTGACTAGTCTGTGGACTGGAATATGAACAGCAACTGTTTTTATTGCCCATATTTTTAATTGAACTCTAATTTGGTGAGCCTGGATATATGTTTTTGCAAATCAAGTATTCTTCATCTTCAATCCCTCTGTATCATAACCACATTGATGACTGTGATAAGATTAAAATAAACCACGTTTCACGTAAATTTTTCCACTATATGTTAAACCATTTCGCCAGTAAATTGTATGTAATAAAGAAATAAAAAGGCGGAAATGTTACTGTACTTGTACACAACAGTTACTGTTGTTTTGCATCCCGGTTATAGATGGATTTCCGGCGTCTTCACATATATACTAGCTTCTGCTTGGAGCGCGGCAATATTCGAACTAACTTTTAATTAATAAACCCACGCTTGGTTTAATGTTAACTTAACGCTAATTAAAAATAATTTTATCTGATCCATGAGTTCATTTTGACACTGACGTCATTGTTATGGCGTTCATCTAATTCTTGCACCTTCGGCATTGGTTAGGCTATCGGTCTGATTGGGCACTGTCACAATCAACGCCGCTAACGTTGCTGCCTCCGATACTGCCGTCGCCGCCAAAAGAACAGGTGTTTCTTAATAACCATTCATCAATATTTCTTTTCCATGTGTTTTTTAATTATTAAATAATAATCATCACCATCACTATTTAATTGTGATTTTATGTATTTTGGAGTAAACACAAGTTTCCAACATTCTGTCATCAAAACACTTAATAGTTTTTTTTGTAGATTTATGTATATGCTACATGCGTCTATACAATTTTCAAAAGAAATTAGTTTATATATTGTTATATTAGCTTCGAACCGTGTCTTGTCTTAAAACAAATAGTATATTCTGAAATTCTTTTAGGAAACTAATCAATTTTATTGACTTTACAAATAAATATGGACAAAGCGTAAATGGAAATTGGTAGCCGAAAAGTATAAATAAAAATAATAATGACTGCTTTATCAATACATTCCTAAAAAACACTTTGATAAACAATTGTATGTGCGAATCGACGTTGTGTCAGCGAAAACAATAGTTAAAATCATGAAACGGAAATCCTATCAAATAAGTCGCCATAAATAAGTCGTCACGTAACAGAAAGTGTCTTAAATAATGATTTTTTAGATGTTAGTATTTATAATAGATGATTGCCTAGGTGCCCTTAATCCGCCACTGCACATATGACAACGATTGGATATTTACTTTTAATCAAATTTTAATAAAAAGTTTAAATCTATTAAATTGTTTGATATTTGCAAAATTCAGGCATCATCAATAATTTGTGTTGCCACTCTGTTTTTGTTAGGTAGTCTCAGTTCAAAAAGTTAGGTGATATATTAAATAATAATAATTGTTGGTAATTTTTAAGATAACATTATATTACAATTACGATACAAGTAATTTTCTTTTCTGCACACACACACATATTATATATACATACGCATATATATATATATATAAAATTGGGTACTACGATATATATTTACAAAGACAAGTTTTACTTAAATATTATTAAGATGTTGGTTTGTATGTTTATAAATTATAATAATAATGATTATTATTATCATAACGTTAATATTTGTGAGCTAAAAATAACTAATTCTTTTATTTAAGCTCTCAGTCGAATAAACTGTATAACACATAATCGAATACACTCTCGTCGACAGCGTCTTCAGGGTTGGGAGTTGGGATTACACGATATTTCTGGTATATGAAAAAATAAACGCAGCTATACACTGTATTCTATAAATTTATCTCCGTTTTCTTTTTTAATATAATATTTTCTCAATATCCTTATATATGTATGAACCACTCGCAAATTAAACATTGCGATTTTTCTCTCCTCTCCAGACGAATCATCATCACATCACGCCACCTATTTTACAATATATATTTTTGCTCAAATTTAACACATTAAGTAAACATAACAAGGAAAAAAAAACGTATGCAATGAAACTGTTCATACAATATTTCGAAAATCCTGATAATGAACTGTTGTCAATCGAATTGATTTTTGATATCAGTAAATTCGAAATATACTATTGCTTCAATTGCGCCTTATATAAGTATGAAAATATTTTAAAAATATATAGACAGTATTATACGGGCTACATATCAACTTAATATCTAATGAAAAGTACACAAATGACATTAAAATTAAAAAATAAAATCTAATGTTCAAATGCGCAAAAAGTGCTACAGGCTTAAACTCTTATTTAAAAAAATCTTTAGAAAGCAATTATCAATGAATCAGATGTGTATATCATAAGATCTATATATTTCATTCTTATAATGTAATTTACTTTATGTGAATTATGCACCATTTGTTTTACAGGCTTAATATTATTGCTCAGAATATGCATTGGCAGAAGGCATTCTTTGTAAATTTGCAGATAATTGTTCACTTACGTGAAATATTAGAACCACCTACATTTATTTTGTAATAGAAATAAACTTTCTTATTTATTTCTATATGTTATCGTTTTTTTTTTCATTCATTAATTCTAATTTCGATTCGCTCGCCTAAAACTTAACTTTATACCTATTTTCATCTTAATAATATTAAGGTATAATAATTAATATAAGTCATAATGCAAAAAGAAAAAGATACATTTATTTGTTCATTTATCCACGAGAAATGTATGAAATATTTACAAACAAAACAGAATTAAATAAATAAGAATACAAATCGGGAAAGAAAATATTGCACTGCCAATTTTTTTTTTTACTTTTAATTTCCGCGATGAAAAAAAAGTGAAACAAAGTACAACATTTGCATTAGAATGTGAACCTGAGGTAGGTGCTTAATAATAACACTTTTTCAATTGTTTTTAACTTTTTCACAGCGTACGTTTGTTGATTAAAATATTTGGTGATTTATTTAGTAAAGAAATAATTTATAGATTATTTTTTTATAAAATCCAAGGCGAAGTAATTGGTAAAATCCATGGAAGACTATATTGTATATACTTCTTTTTATATCTTGTGTTTGCTTTTAGCAATTGAAGGTAAATGCACAAAATTGAGAGACTTACATGCATTTAAAATAATGAGAACGTGTACGAGTGCATTTTTTTTTTTTTTTTTGGAGAGAGCGAGAGAACCTAAATATTAATAATTAGAGATACTTAAATACATACACCTTTCGGATACTTACAAATAAAGAAAATATAATTTAATAATAAATCACGATCATATGAAGTCTTTTCAGTTATAAAGAGTTTGTCAGCAAAATTTAGTTTGTTTAATGCACAGTGTCTTATTTTCTTTTGCTTTATTTTAATATTTATATGTATATATATAAATAAGTAAAAAATATATTTATATTTTATATATTATAGAAACCCAAATAAAAGTATATGCATTTAATTAAAATGAACGCAATTCTCTTTCACAATATATATAATAATTAAAATAATATAGTTATATAAATAATGTCGCATATTTACAAAGGTTTTTATGTTTTTTTTAAATAAAAATAAAAAATGAATGTCCTTCATTGATTCAATACATTCCAAAAAATCTCTCATTATTGGTTATTAAAATATTCATGAAATAAAATATATATTTTGGTTAGTTAAAATGTAATGTAAAAGAAAACAATAAATAAGGAACTTCTTTAAAAATGAGATTTTTTTGGATAGTTGAGAATTTTCACAAAATAGGGATGAACTAGTTTGCTCAGAGCAAAATAAATTTGCAGCTGAGAGCGAGGGGTGTATATTTTATGGTTGATCAATTCGGGCTACCTACCGTATGAAGCATGTGCTGCAAAGCTTATTTGGGGATATACAGTCGTCGTGGCAAAACGCCCCGCATTTGGAGCACATCACCATTGCCTTCAAATTGCAAGGGCATGCATCGGCTTTCTTCGGTTTCAGTAACGCGGCCGGATGATCCACCATCAGATTATCACCAATTATGGTGTAATTTTGTAACTGATTTTCGCCTACTCCCACGTCCCCATACACAATCCCTTGTTGAACTCTTTGTCTCCGCGTGATCGCTTGCGTTCCAGGATTCGGACACTGCACTAAGAAGTCGTTAGAAGGTTGCATTGCTGGATGTTCGATGTCCACGCTAGCCGGTCTCCCTCTTCCACCGCCCCCGATAGAAACCATTCCTCCCGTATTTATTGCCCCGATCTGTTGTTGGGCAGGTGGAGCGCTGGATGAACGCGGAATGTGAGGGTCACCTACACCTGCTCGCTGCACTAAGATATACTGCCCCACGTGTCCCATCTGGTTTTGTGCATCAACCACCTTAAACATAAAAGGAAAGTACACTTTAGATGGATTGGTTAATATTGCCGATGTACAAAACATTAAATACTGAGCATCTAACCACAGTCTACATATATAATCATGCATAGACTGCAGAGATGTACTCACTCACTTCTGGACTGAGGGCTTGAGCCTGAGGTAGTACAGCCATTGTAACTGGAATGCCTTGACCAGAAGTAAATACATGTCTTACAACAACAGGAGGACTTGGTTGTCTTGCTTGTTGTTGGTAAGGAGCTGGTCTAGTTTTCATTTTAACTCCATTATTACTAGTAACCATATTGTAAGTACCTGTCAAAAATCGTAATATTAATACAAGGCTTTTTTAATCAATTGGAAAAAAATACCGGAAGCTGGAAGAGGCGGTGTGAACGTTTTATTTCCCCTTGAAGAACTAACATTGCCATACTGCGTCCTGTTATTTTCAACTTTTTTTGCATTGATATTAGCAGCTAATAATGAAGGCGGTGGTTTCAATTGGCACCGCAGTTGATCCCTATTTGGACTATTCTGAATAACTGCCTGACAAATTTGGTAACTACGTTCCAAATTAACTGCTCCTGGAGGTGGTTTGTTACTGCTGCGATTTCTATTACTTCCACTTTGAGTCGATTTCGGTTTCACTTTTGTATGTGTTGACACTGCCCTAATAGGCTGGCTTGTGCTTAAAGCGAGATATGGTAGTGCACTTGAACTTTGCACCATTCCCGCTCTGGGCAGAGGAACATTAGGTGTAATATGCGGAACGCTGAGGACACCCTGATTTGTTATTGATGCAGTACTAACAACGGAGGGTAGGCAGACAATAGTGGTGGGCGGTATCACCGTGGTGACGCCCTTGCTTATCGAAGGTGTTACTGTAGAACTTGATCCATTCCCAGATCCTCGAACAGTACTAGTAACCAAACTGTCGGGACTAACAATTTCAGGTGTTAATGTTACTTCCAATTCTAATTTTACTTGATTGCCTTGATATTCAATATATTGGTTTTGACTGGAATTATCTGAAACTGGAGCTGGTGTTTCAGTATTGACACCTAATGCAGCTGCTACCATATCTGAATCCATTTTAACTCCATATGGCCAATCTGTAGGAACAGGGAATGTTCCTTCTTCCAATCTAACTTCCAATTCTTCCTGCATAGGAATTACTTCTACATGTTCAGTTGTGTTTACAGTACCAACTAGACCAACAGGAACAGAATCCAATGCATGTAATGGCACCTCCAACAATTTTTCAGTACTCGAATCCACAACATCCCAACAGTCTTCTACTAAAAATTGAAATGAAAACATAAAATATCCGAAATATAATAATGAAATAAATTAACAAACCTGTGTTCACCTCTGAAAATAATGCTGCTTGTATGTCTTCGACTGGTGCGATCTTTTCTTCAACTTTTTCTGTAGCTGATATTTGGCCAGATTCGAGAACGTAATTTTCAGCATCGATAAACCTGTCTTCATTGTCATCTGTGCATACATCTTCTTGGTGAAAATTATTTTCCGTTAATTGCGATAAAACCAACTCGGACTCATCAACAACTTTCGCACTATAATCCTCAACTTCTTTAGGTAATGAAATCGATTCCTGTTGAATAATTAACGTATTTGGAAGAACTTCAGGAAATTTGACTGTATTTGATTCTTTAGAATGCGGCAAATCATCGCCGATTTGTTCTATGTCGTTTTTCGTATTTTCACATTCTGTTTCTTGTTGATGCCACGGAGATGACGCAGAAGATGAATTTGTCTCACTTATGGAAGGTAATGTAGCTACAGCAGGCAGAAGTGAAGACTCCACTTCTGCATCGAGTTCAGTGTCTATTACATCATCAACATCGTTCTTCATATCTTCAGACGGAGTTGCAACTTCGGAAGTTTGTGAATCTTCCTCAGATTCACGTGAATAACATCTATCTTCCGAATCATCGTCATCTTCCATAGAAATAAGATTGGTTTCATTTTCACTTTTAGCAGTATCTAAGAAATATATTGGAATAAATTAATATTATTATATAACATGTAATATAGAGATATATTACCATCTTCCTGGTCAATTGGTATGTCTTCAGACATTTGTGGTGAATTTTCCGGTTCAGGTAGAAGATGAGGTGGTGGTTCTGGTTGTATAGCAAAAATCTCCAAATCTTGAGAATGTGTGGGACTTGGTGTTTTACGTTTTGGTGATCGACCTTCAGAACTGAGGGAACGTCGCCGTTTCTCCTTTCCGTAACCGCTGGTAATGATTGTCTCGCTATTCGTATTTATAATAGAATCACTTACATTAATTATTGATATTTCTGGTAAACTACTTAAATTATTTTGAGTGTCCAACATCTGTTCAGGTTTGGCTTCAGCACTTGATGTCTGAATTGGAATCTCAGTTTTGGGCACTTTAGGTTGTCGGATAGGGAGTAAATCGGGTATTTGTGTAGGTTTAGATTCTACCGTCTCCTCAATCTTGAAATTAGTACAGCTGCGAGTCATAGCACCTACTGTCCGCAGTCGCTTCATAGGAGATGGTAAAGGTGGTTTAGGTTTGGATAGTGACGTTGAAGGACGAAGCTTTATAGTTGTTCTTATTGGAGGTCTGCTGATCATTTCAGTTTCAGAATTAGTTCTATCTCCCCAAATAGGTTCAAAGTGTTTCAATTTCCATGGGTCCAATCTGCTTCTCTCTTTGTCAGCTTCAGTTTTCAACTTTTGTTGGTTCTCTGGTGTGAATTCTCCTTCTGACAGACGTTCTTGCCATTCAAGACATGCCCTGGCAAAGAATTCATTGTTCAAAGAAGATGACGTTAACCGAACAGCGTCAGTAGCGTTTGTAAGTATTTGACGATCTACGCTAGGTAATAATTGCACTAATTTGTGTTGGTATAATGGAGGTAAAGCAGCAAATGTGTACTTGTTTAATAAGGCGCGAAGTGTTGTATTCACTAGGATTGAATCTGGGGTTTCTAGGTCTATGCAGCCTTCTTTAGTTTGTTCCAATTGAGCTGCTGTTGATAATTTTTTATTTGATCTTTTTCTAGGTTTAATACTGAACCCAGGTATTGATGCTAGTACTTCTTTCATTGTAGGAGTCTTTATAGAACTAATTGGGTTCACATCTTCAACAGGCTGTGGTGGTAAAGGCTTCACTATAATCCTTGGCACAGAGACTGTATTCCCTGAAGCAATTGTTGTGTTCTTCCGTCTTCTCTTAGCTTGTTGTCGTAATGCATGTTTGATCACTTTCTTGTTATGTCTTCCACTTTCTTTGTCTGATGTTGTACTTGATGAGATATTATTAAAATTTACATTGTCTTCAGGCACATTTTCTTGGGTTATATCCACTTTATCTTTAACTACTTCAGGAGTAACGTCGATTTCCATCACGCAGTGTATATCACATCTATAAGAAATGAAAATTAAGATAAATAAATAAAAAGCCAGTAAATAAATATAATATTAAACAAAATGCCACATAACCCTAAAAAAAATTCTGTCATTTTATTTATAAACAACTGAATAATTTTGTTTTATGCTTGTTAGAAATATAGACATATAACATGGTCTTGAGCTAACTGAGTTGATGTTTGTTTGTTTAGACATGATTAGAACAACAATTGTATCTTAAAACTTTTTCTTATATTTAATATGAACTTACATGAAAGTAATAACGAACACACAGCACTCTTCATTTATTAATTCAAAGAGATAAGTGAATTTAAGTAAAAAGAACAAAACGCAAAAAAAAACAACAAAATATATTTCAGCCCATTTTATTTTTAATAGTGGCCAGCCGAGATGCGCGTTTCATCTCATCAATGTTCTCTTCGGATTTTTCATACATCTGACACCCGTTAGTTTTATTGTTATCAGATTAGATTTAGACCTTTTTTCTTATAAATATTCTTTTAAACACAATAGCATTGACAGCAGCAGTAAAATTTCATCCGCCATTTCAATATCACAGGGTGAATGTTTTCTTTTGTGCAACCCCAACACAAGCGCAATCTCCTGTTACATATAGGTACTAAACATCAAAACATGCAACACAGAAACGTTAAACATTTTTTTATTTTTCAGTTCTGCTTGATTTCCAAGATTCGGTTTTCATTATTTTTTAATAGTTTACCATTGTTTATAAAATATTTACATATAATTTATATAAAATCTTATAATATTTTTTTTGATGGTGACATTTTACTTTCCCAATTTGGTAATGACGCGAAGGAATATTCATTTTATCGGCGTGCGTTCAGTTCAGGGATACCAAAGGCGCTTGTTATTTTTTCAGTTGCGCACAGTACGAACATCTTTACATTTGTCGAATTCATTCATTCATTCCTTGTTTAGAAAGATGGCAGACACCAAGTTGTATGATGTATTGGGTGTTAACCGTAATACCCCTGATGCAGAGATCAAGAAGGTAATTATGAGCAATATTATAAGTGATTTTATAATTGCATACTTCTGAAGCACATTTTTCCTGATGTCCTGTACGCATTTTGAACAACCAAGTTCATGCGTGAAGTCAAGGCCGAAATATTGCTGCTTCTAAAATTTAAATACCGTTTCCTTGCAACTTTAGTTTAAAAAAAAATATAAATTTTTGTTACATCATGTAGTATTGTCAGTACTAAATGTTTACAGAGATTATTCACATAGTCTTTAATTCTGTTTTTTTTTGTTTTATTAATTAAATAATAATTACAACATTTTTCTCTATTTTATCTGTCAGCAATACCGTAAGCTTGCCAAGGAATTTCACCCCGATAAGAATCCCGAAGCTGGAGATAAGTTTAAAGATATTTCATTTGCATATGAAGTGTTGTCTGATCCCCAGAAACGCAATATTTATGATAAATATGGTTTGAAGGGACTTAAAGAAGCAGGTGGGGGTGGAGGACCAGAGGACTTTAATAATATGTTTGGCTCTCTGTTTGGTGGCATGTGGGGTTTTCCAGGCATGGGAATGCCAAGGCGCAGAGAACGAGGTGAAGATACTGTTCATACTTTAAAAGTCAGCTTGGAGGATTTGTACACTGGAAAAACGTCTAAACTCCAGCTAAGTAAGAACGTTATTTGTAGTATCTGCAATGGGCAAGGTGGTAAGGCTGGTTGTTGCCAGCCTTGCACTAAGTGTAAGGGAACAGGTATTAAAATATCATATAGGCAGTTAGCTCCTGGAATGGCACAACAGATTCAATCCAGATGCTCAGATTGTGAGGGAGAAGGAATGACAATTAATGCAAAAGATCGGTGTAGGGCTTGTCGTGGCAAGAAGGTTTGCAATGAAACTAAAGTGTTGGAAGTACATGTGGACAAAGGTATGAGAGATCTACAAAAAATTATTTTCCGTGGAGAGGGTGATCAGCAACCCAACATAGAAACTGGAGATATCATTATCGTTTTGTCTCAAAAAGAAAACAAGAAGTTCCAGAGGAGTGGGAATGATTTACTCCTTGAACATACTATCACTTTGACTGAGGCACTATGTGGTTTTTCCTTTGTGCTGAAACACTTGGATGGCAGTGATTTGTTGATCAAAAGCACTCCAGGAAACATTATCAAACCTGGCGCTGTACAATCTGTGATGGGTAAAGGAATGCCATTGTACAAAGATCCATTTGAATTTGGAAATTTATATATTACATTTGAAATTGCCTTCCCTGATAATGGAATGACTTCGATGGAGAATATACTAACTTTAAAGAGCTTGCTGGGACCACTTCCAGAGTTTATTATGCCAACAGGAGAAAATGTTGAAGAAGTTGACATGCATGAATATGATCCCAATGATAAAAGGGGTCAAGCTGGCAGAGGAGAAGCATATGCCAGTGATGAAGAAGGAGGTGACACACCTCTACAATGCGCTCATCAATAGTCACCTATATTTCTTTAATTATTTTATTTAACTACTTAACTTTATTCTGCTCTTCTTTCTAAATAATGATATCATCTCACACCAAAAATGTTTTTGTTTCTACATCATTTTAGATTGAAATATGTCACAGAACAAAACCAATGGTAAAAGCATGTATTGTTTATTTTAACTTTGAAGCTGTCATTTATTTTTGGTCGAGTTTTTATTTGTGTGGGATCTGTGATAATATCAATATTTTTGCGACAAAAAATCTTTTATGAATCAAATAAAATGACTTTACAAATTTCTACAGTCCTTGAAGCTTTGATTTGTTTATTCACTATTAATAATTGTTTTCTTTGTTTTTGGTACATGAATCAAAGCTCGACTATGATATTACATATACATATATTTTATAATTGTAAAATGAAAATTTAAAATACATCAAATAGGCAAATTATTTGTATTTAGAATTTTATGTTTAGACAATGCGTTCCTATTGTGTTGAGCAATATGGTATTTAATCGGTATAGAATATAAGGACAAAGTTAGAAATATGGTGCATATAAGTGTCAAAATTTATTCATTGAGTGAATATTGTGTTTGTATATCTATTTGTAACACTATGTGAAAGACTTAATTAAATTCTGTTCATATAGTTTTAGAAATAATTTGTAATATTTTAACACTTGAATTAAATGATTCCATGATGAAGTTTTCCTAGTTTATTTTTATATTCGAAAAATGGTAGATATTTTGTATGTTGGAAACCTTCATTCAACCCCAGATTATTTGGTTGCCTATAATTAATTTGTACAATCTTATGCTGTATTGAAGCGAATTTATACAAATATATATATATAGAAATATATCATGTAATGACAAATCAGTATTTATTTATTAAGACAAAGTAATACCCAAACAGCGACCAATTAGTTATATATTTTTCTTGTGAATCGTATATATATAGCACAATTATAGACGAAATCTTTGATACTTTTAATTAAAGAGATGAACATTGTTATTACTACACTGCAAGGATAACGAAACCCTACAGAGTTGAATTGTCTTGAGAAGGGTCGGACCGCGGAGGTTCGTCCGAATGCTAGAGTATTGATTGGGATTTGGAGCAACTGCTCTGTTTCTGGAACATAACTCATGCATTACGAATGTCCTCTGCGGATGATAGAATGATTACATTGGAATAATAAAATAAAATTGTAATCAGATGAGGATAAATAAAGTATATCATCCATTCAACCCAGTGATTATGGTTTTTAGTCTGCAATTAAAGCTTCTTGCATGGATAGTAATGATTTGTGTATGAGTATACTAACAATGGTAAAGATGCGTTTACTGTTGTACATATTTGATTTTATAGTTTGGTAATTGCTAATTTTTATGGGAATGTATAAAAGTATCAAAATGAGTTATAATTTAGTTACATCGAGATTAATCGCTTAATTGCAAACATTGTACATGATATAAAATTGAATGAATTCGTTACAATGAGGAAATTGAGTTAATGAAAGTAATTCACATGGAGTTCGAAGATCTTGTAGTCTTCTACTAAAATGTTTCTTGGTATGTTCCTAATAGAATAGAAGAGATGTTAATTGGTGATAGTTATTTCTGGTACAGTGAATCTGCTTATGGTATTTGATGATCATGGAAAATTGAGCATACGTTGAGGGAATTTATGGATTGGCGTGGTGTGTCCGGATGTGTGAGCGATGCGGAAGATGGCCGAGGAGGGACGCCCCTGGATCGACGGTGCAGTGACGCAACCGTAGCGCACGATGTGCCCTGGCCAGGGGGGAGCAGAGACGGACGGAAGCAGGAGGAAAACTCATGGCTGGGCCATCCACAGGCCGCCGCCGCCGCAGCAATCGAGAACTGGATGGCGCGTGTGGTGGTCTGGTCTAGTGGCAGGCTGAAGTGAGTTTTAGTCCGAGAGTTAACCGAGCGCCGAAGCAGCAGCGTTCGCTTGTGGGATCCTTCGACGCCGCCGACGACGACATCGACAACACCGACGCCAGACGTCTTCGCGGAACGCGCGCGTTGCGGTCACCACAGTTCCCCTCATTACCACCCATTACCAACAACACCCCTCCGGCAAGCGAACGAACGTGCAAGCTGGAAAATAAGAATACAGATCATCTTCGTAACATCTCAACCAACTCCAGGTTTTGGGTCAGCGTCAACCCCCCTACTCCCAAGGTGAGTTGCAGTACGTACTGTTGAAGGCGACGTCACCGTACCACGTGCTTCCTTCGCAATGCCAAAGTCCCAGTTTGCTGAGCTGAGCGCCGATAACAAATAACAACGGCGCAAGAACAAAACGCATGCACACATTTATGAAGTACCATTAATTGTTAAATGATGCGCGCGACCCAGTTCTTTGCCAATTTCAATTCTTCGCGCAATACTAAATGAAATTGTTTGCATATTTGCACATTTCAGATTTATTATTGTTGTTGTCTTTGTCGTTATTATTATTTGTTATTAACAATTGTTGCCTTGACTCTCGCCGGCGACACTTTGACCTTCGGTGTCCCTTAAAACGACGGGGTCCGACGCCACATAACAACGATGAGCAAAAAGTGTCGCGCTTCATCACTCCTCTCCACCGTTTTATCTTCCACTACCTCTGCCTACACGTGTCTCCTCGCTCATCTCCCGATCGCACTGTAACGCATACACGCCAAGAAACAAACAATTATAACTTTTTATCAATATTACATGTGGTACTGATGGTTTGATCGCTGTTGTTCCTGCATACGTTTCCAAAAAGAATCGATAATCTTTCTTTATTCATTCATTAATTCTTAGCACTACATATTTTCTTCGCCAACGTTTTCTTTACTTGGGGAATTTCCTAATCAAATCTAATCGAAAAACTATACATTTTAAAAAGAATTGTTGTGTACACTTTGAGTACGTACGTACATGCTTGTACGTGTTAAATTCTATACATTCACAATGATTTTTAGAAAAAATATTATGAGAACAGTATGGTAACAAGAAAATATTCTTAATATTCTATTGTAATATGCAAAAAAAGTTTTCATACATTTTGAAATTATTATTTTACATATTGTTATTTATGAAAACCAAGTTTTATTTAACTTTTCTTTCAGAGGAGATTGGACAATTGGAGTGAAACAATTTTTTCCATACAAATTAATGTAAAATACAATTGTGCGATCCATGCCGAAAAAATAATAAAAATATGTATAACGTTTATTAAAAGAAAATTATATATACAGTGAAACCTCGCTTAACGAGCACATCGCATAACGAGCATTTCGCTTAACGAGCAAAATGAATTGTAAGAAAAATAATTCGCTTAACCAGCGATGTTTCTCACAACGAGCGATGTTTCGCACAACGAGTGACGATGAGAAGAGAAGTACCGGATTGTGCGCATGTTACATCATTTTTAAAACTTGTGTACACATATTATGTGTATTTTTGAATATGTTTCACTATACGAGTAAAAATCTGGAAATTTTGGAATGGATTAAACTCGTTAAGCGAGGTTCCACTGTATTTTGATAAGGAGCATGAATCATCTTCATCTTTTCTTCTATCGTGGAATGAACCTTCAGATTTGCAGAAAATAAAAATAGAAATACAGTCGATTCCTCTTAATTGGAACACTGGTTAATCCAGACAGGCGCTTAGTAGGGACAAATCCTAAAGAACGGAAACAAAACTAAGGAAATAACACAAATTCACTCCGTTATTAAAAAAATCACACACAATATGTCTCAGCACAAATTTGGAAAATGATGTAGCTGGCGCACAATCCAGGACATTCCTTCTCCTCTTCACTTATGTGAAACGTTTTTGTTACAATTTATTTTGCAATAAAAAATCAGTTCATGCAGAAGATATTCGTCTCATGCAGCCCGAAAAATACGCAAAAATTAGTGAGAGTTTAAGAATTATAAATATTATTTATGAGTCACTATCAATACAATTATTGTTTATTAAATCACTTTAATAAATAAACTTTCAAGTATAAATATTTAACATAATAAGCATTACAAACGGTTGTAGTTGTAGTTGAAATAGTTTCAAGTGTCGCACCTCTTGGAGGTGTCCTCAATTTCCACATTTATTATCTCATGTTTGTTTGTTTTATTTTCCCGAAAGATACTGTGTATATTTTTTCTTTATTGTAACTTTTAACGAACGATTTAACCAAACCAAACCATCGACAAATATTGACCAAAGAAATTGTGTAACCAGTATATGTCGGGCCCAAGAAACCGTGCTCGGCCGTGGGATGCCTCCTTCCTTCTTCGACTCTATTGGCCGCCATTATCGTCGGCTCTCTTGGCAAATAGAAAACTGATAGTGTGTTATCAGCTCAACGCTTTTATATGAGTAGCTCTGTACGTAACCAACAGTTTTTTCACATTACAAATAACAAGAACTAAAAATACATAATGGTATTCAATGTGCACGTGAGACGAAGGGGGTGGGCAGTGTAGATTTTTCTTCTCTTCGTCAATACAACAATTAAGTAACAAAAGCAAACACGGTTACAAAACAAGGCTGTTAACGAGATAAGACCGAAAGTGGTTTGCTTATTCCTCTAACTCGCCGTCTCTGTCGCTCCGCAGGAACTCATGAGTCTTCTACTTTTCGAGTATGTGATTTGAAGCTATTGATACAGCGACACTTGGCATTGGCCCTGCTCGTGTTTGGCGTAAATTCAAAACACGAAGAATATTTTCTGTTCATCAACAACATTGTGACCAGAATTAGCTCAACCGATGTTTTGGGTCTTCGTGAGGGTGGATGCTTGTTAATGGGACCCCGTGACTCCGGGCTCGAAGGACGGCAATCGCACAAGCGTTTATACGGGGAGTAATATTGCTTGTTGTAACAGTGGTATTGATCGTCTGTTCTTCGGCTGAACTAGGGTGTGTAACCTCCGCCAGTTACGCTCTTATATTTCTGTGCGGGACTTGGGCCACCAGCCCCCAATGGAAGAAAGAACAGCCGCCGCAGTAGCTCGAATACGAAGAAAATCAATTCCTACTCATATACACACATATACAAAAAAATCTCGAAAATCCAATTTTATTAAGATTAAGGCCAATTTGCTGCTGCTTTCCATTGGTCAATGAGACACAATTTTATTATTGAAGTCATTTAAACTACATCATTTATTATTATTAAAAAAAAAAACATTTAAATACAATATTCAACTTTTAATTATTATATTAAATATTACTAAAGAATAACAATATATAATAAATAGTTATCGGAGGGCGTGGCGAGAGGCGCCAGTTACGTGCGCAAGTGAATTAAGGGCGCAACATTTTCTGTATAGGTTTACTATTACCTATACACTTCATGTTTCTACTTCGTTTGCCTTAACAAAGAAGTTAAATCCGATATTAGTTGTTCATGCCATATTCATTCATATAGCCTTTCTTTTCTGCTGCAGTTGTTAGAACATTATACTAAATTGCTATATCGGATCGATTAATTGCAATTAAGTAATTGCACATTTTTATTTTGATCAATTAAAATTTGGTTTCTTTACTACTTGCAAATTGAACACGTGCACATCACATACTCCAGTTACGGCACTAGTTAAAGTACTTTTATTAAAACATGTATATTTTCAAGTCATCCTTCTTATCTCATCCTTTACTGTTAATCTAATTCAATTTTATGTAACTTAGTACTGAATGAATAAATCTTGCAAACTATGTTACCGCTGCACTAATCACGTTAACTATTTGTATTTAACAGAATAAAGTATTGCGGCATGTTTATATTCATTTTAATTTCAAATGTAAATTATTATAAAAATTAATAAAAATATTTAATTGAATTTATAGTAGAAAACATAAAATACTTTCAGCAAATTACTATGATGACATTTTTCTGGATTTCTTTCAATCTGTTGTACTTTATGTGAGATGCGTTTGCTTTATGTTATCAAGAAGTTGTAGTTATGTAAATTTTGCCAAGGCCGTAAACTGATGGTTCAAATGAAATCCTGAAAATGAATGTCTGTGTGTATGTTTGTGTACTAACGAAAATGTCATTCGCTTAGAAAAGGTGAGCATATGCATTGCCTTTTTTAATTGTCTTTAGAGCGGGAAACAAACAACGAAAAATGCAACTATGTATGTTTTGCCAAGGACGTGTCATGCATTATAAGAAAACTGGAACGAGATAGCAGAGTGTAAAGACTGTAATGGAAGGAAACATATATATAAATTGGTGGACATTTGTTTTAAGAAAATATTTAATTAAACTAATTATATATTTTGAGCGGAAAGACTTACGTCGAGAATCCTTTGGTTGAAAATTGCTCTAATATGTAAATAAAAGTGTAATAAATAAGTTTAATATAACTTGTATTGCAAAGTATATTTGACATTGTAATTAAATCAAAGCAAACTTAAATTTTAAACAAATAATTTTTCTTTATTCTTAATAGTATGATATTGCAAAACAAAAATAAAATTCTATTCCTGCAAAGGGATATTTGATAGTACTTTCCCAAGAGATATTTTTTGGGAATTTAATTGGGTGCGGATTTGATCTCTTCGAATTCTTGAATAGAAACCACATCCAGACTCCGTCGCCTCCGCTTTCGCATCAACAATAATCATTGTTTATATTATATTTGTAAATGTATCATATTTGACCTTTTTTTATTTAATATGTTTAATACAGTCGGCGTTCGGTTAAGATACATTATGCGTACGCTAAGCGTATGTACGGAATGCAATCGGAGGATAAATTATCATATAAATATAGTAGTATCTTGGGTTGCGAGCATAATTCATTTTGAATCGTGCTTATAATCCAAAGCACTCGTATTTCAAAGCGAGTTTGCGAGTCGATTACCTACAATCGCGTCAAACAAAGCGTATAGGTCAGGGTTTCCCAAACTTTTCCTGCAACGGAACACTTCGTATATTCTGAAATTTTCATGGAACGCCTTGTTTATTTTGTATGGTAGGCAATAACACATATTCAAAAAAAATATGAGAAAAAACATTTTCACGGAACTGTTAACTATCCGCAGAATATAGTTAGGAAAACCCTGGTATAAATAATAGTCGTATTGCGAAACCTCCCTCGTTTCCAAGTTAAAAATTTTTTTTCGTCTTACTAAATACTCCCAAGTTCATTGTACATGGATTATTTAATATACACGTGTTTATTAGTTCGCGCGAAGATACTCGATATTCGTACGAACATACACTGCATTCGGCACCATATGATCGGATTTACGTACTCAAATTTTCAAAAAGTCTACATATTTCAATTTAACGATTTTAAAAAATATAGATAACTTACACCGTCGCCGGCTGATGCGTCTGACAGTGTATATACTTACATATATCTGTAATTCAGTCAGAGAGCCTTAAATAAATATTTACGTATTATCGAATGTACGTTAAGTTAACATATTTCAGTGGTTCTCAAACTTTTTGGTCCGCGATCCCCTTTTGCATTAAAAAAAAATAAAGGACCCCTTTCCACGTATTTCTACACATACCCATTATGTATAGAAATGCGTGGAAATACCGTCCCGTCTGTCATCAATTTTTCGCAACCCAAAATTTGAGAATCACTGTTCTAAAGCATATTATTAACTATAGTCCTCTCAGGTAAATAGTAAATTTCTATTTTGCATTTCTTAGATAAGATATA